CTAATACTATTTGCATATAAATTATGTATTAAATATGTGTACAAAAAGTTGAAAGTATAGTAGAAATAGTTTCAACCGTTTATAATTAATCTTTTATAATTTATAAAAGTTTATAAAAAGTTAATAATAATATAATGATCTAAATAATACTGTATTGTAAAATACAATATTAAAATCAATTTTCATTTCAATTGTTTGTTAGCAAAACTAAATATGTGTCTAAATATGTGTAAAGTCATCGAAAAAATAGATACAAACGGGAATATTAGATATTAAATAAATGAATTTTGTTTTGATTGTTTGATAGAAAAACTAAATTGTGTTTAAAATATGTGTGAAAACAATGAAAACATTGAAACAAACGGGAAGTATAGTAGAGATAGTTTCGACAGATTTGGTGATGATTTGTGCGAAATATTACTCAGTTATCTGCCGTTTGACGACCGGATCCGATCGGAGTGTGTGTCCCGAAAATGGCAACGATTGGTGTTTAACAGTTGCAACTATATCGATGACTGCGATAAATATGTGCAAAATATTGAGACAATTTTGATAAAATTAGAAAATTATATCTATTGTTATTATATGAATACAACCAATGAAATGATGCAATTAATATTTAAGTTGCGGCCATTAATGGAGTCAATTGATGTGATTGAAACACTAAGTGATGATAATGTCAAACAAATGTTTGATTATTATGGTTTAAATTTGGAAGCGATTATTTTGCATAGAGATGACCAACTAATCGGTGATAATATCAAAATATGTCATAACTTAGAGTCTATAGAGTTTTCAAAGTACTCTGAAGTCGACACACTATCGATGCTAATCAATGACAACAATGATAACGACAACAATAAAGTATTGTTTCCCAAACTTTATGAATTAAGTTTTGTATTGAATTCGGTTAATATAAACAGTTTCGAAAGATTTACTGAAAATTATGGACAAAAATTGCTATATATTTACATCAAATTTGCTAACAATGTTTTACTCGACAACATTGTGGCCAAATGTGTGTCAAAAATGTCTCAATTAATATATCTGAAACTTTATGATTTGTCTATAAAGTGGTCTAATATGAATTTGTTAGTTACAATTGGCACCAATTGTACAAATATTAGAAATCTTCAACTCTATCCATGGCTTAAAACTGTTGATGAGTTTAACAAAATTTTGGTTATAATTGGAAAACATTTTCGACAATTAAAAACATTATATTTTTCCGGATATTTTCACAACAATTTATTTTATAGTGTTTTTGAAGTTTCAAGCAATTCACTGAAAGGTTTCGACAAACTGACACATTTGACAATTGAGTCCAATTATTATTGGCATTTCGGCGCCGACTTTATGGCCAATCCTATGGACTTCATAGCCGATACCTATTACTTGAAGTTTAAAAACATTGACATTAGTGACGACCTATTGAATGCAATGACAAAATTAAAAGATTTGAAAACATTTATTATTAAATCAAATAATATTAAAACATTTACTGAATTGAGTGTAATTAATGTAATTAAAAATTGTCGAAAATTAAGTAAATTAATGATTAATGATAATAATTTTTTATAAAATAAAAATTATCGATAAGTTTAATAAAAAATTAAATTATTATTATTACTATTATTGATAATTTTTTATAAATGAAAGTTATTAATAAATTTAACTAATAATAAAAATTATTGTGAATTTTTTGTATTAATATATTATCGATACATTTGTTTTTCCACCACTAGTATAATTAATTAATTAATTAATTAATTAATAGAATTAATTATTTTAATTATCAATAATTTTCAATAAAATTTCATTTCAATAAATTATCATGATTCATTTTTAAAAAACATTAAATATGACTAAATAAAAACATTATTATTACAAAATATTACTAATTTAGACTAATTTATTCTTTAAAATTGAATATATATATATATATTTATAATTATTTAAATTACTAATACTATTAGCATATAAATAGTATTAATAGAAATGGTTTCAACAGTTTATAATTGAACATAAGATATAAACTATTGAAGATTTTTGTTATTCAAATGTTGTTTAAATCCTATCTAAATAATACTGTATTGTAATAAATAAATGAACTTTTTTCGGATTGTTTGATAGCAAAACTAAATTGTGTTAAAAATATGTGTGAAAACATTGACACAAACAGGAAGTATAGTAGAAATAGTTTCGACAGATTTGGCGATGATTTATGCGGACTATTACTCAGTTATCTGCCGTTTGACGACCGGATCCGATCGGAATGTGTGTCCCGACAATGGAAACGATTGGTGTTTAACAGTTTCAACTATATCGATGACTGCGATAAATATGTGCAAAATATTGAGGCAATTTTGATAAAATTAGATAATTATAACTATTTTTATTATATGAATACAACCAATGAAATAATGCAATTAATATTTAAGTTGTGGAAATCAATGGAGTCAATTGATGTGATTGAAACATTAAGTGACGATATTGTCAAACAAATGTTTGTAAAATATGCCATAAAATTGAAGAACATTTATTTAGATAGAGACGACCAAATAATCGGTGATAATATCAAAATATGTCATAACTTAGAGTCTATAGAGTTTTCAAACTACTCTGAAGTCGACACACTATCGATGCTAATCAATGACAACAATGATATCGACAATAAAGCATTGTTTCCCAAACTTTATGAATTAAGTTTTGTATTGAATTCGGTTAATATAAACAGTTTCGAAAGATTTACCGATTATTACGCAAAATCTATGACAAAAATTTACATATATTTCTCAGAAAATTATTTATTTGACAACATTGTGGCCAAATGTGTGTCAAAAATGTCTCAATTAATATATCTGAAACTTTATGATTTGTCTATAGAGTGGTCTAATATTGAATTGTTAGTTACAATTGGCATCAATTGTCCAAACATTAGAAATCTTCAACTCTATCCATGGCTTGAAACTGTTGATGAGTTTAATAAAATTTTGGTTATAATTGGAAAAAATTTTCGACAATTAAAACGATTATTTTTTTCCGTATATTTTGAAGACAATTTAGATTATAATTATTTCGTAGTTTCAAGCGATTCACTAAAAGGTTTCGACAAACTGACACATTTGACAATAAAATCCAACTATTATTGGCATTTCGGCGCCGACTTTATGGCCAATCCCATGGACTTCATAGCCGATACCTATTACTTGAAGTTTAAAAACATTGACATTAGTGACGACCTGTTGAATGCAATGACAAAATTAAAAGATTTGAAAACATTTATTATTAAATCAAATAATATTAAAACATTTACTGAATTCAGTGTAATTAACGTAATTAACAATTGTCGAAAAATTAGTAAATTAATGATTAATGATAATAATTTTTTATAAAATAAAGTTATCGATAAGTTTAATAAAAAATTAAATTATAATTATTGATAATTTTTTATATTATAGAATTATAGTAGTTATATATATATATATATATATATATATATAGAGAGAGAGAGAGAGAGAGAGAGAGAGAGAGAGAGAGAGAGTTGACCAACTAATCGGTAATAATATCAAACTATGACATAACTTAAAGTATATATAAAAAAAATTCAAGTAATCACACTATCGGTGCTAATCAATGACAAACAACGACAATAAATTGATATAAAGTTTCTTATAAGTTTGAAAAAATATTTTATATCATATAATAACGTTTTCTATGAATATATTTATTTAAAATTTATATAAATTATTTTTAGTATTATGTAATATTTATGTAATATGATATTTATATATTATAAATAGTATTATATCAGTAAACATATTAGTATTATATTACTCTAAACTGTAAAGTAATACTATAGTATATTTTATGATATATATACGGTATATAATTGATATTTTATGGGTGTGACAATGACTACCGAAATGATGACTAACAAAGGCATAGATGATCTCATCGATGGTATTATCACTGATGTTTGTCCGGAACAAATAAACAGCCGACAAGTTTTAATGGATAAACTTATGCTGAGGCCAACCAAAGAAGTAATTGATGATAATTTGATGGACAAATCATTGGTGATTAAAAGAATAGACAACTTTGTTATCAATGAAAAACTTGAAATGATTGATAGCAAAGAGTTACCCAAACTAAAGCCATTGAAAGAGTTGTCTGAATTAAAATTTGGATCCAATTTGGAAAAGGGATTCAAAGACAGTTTGTCTAATAATAGATTAATAGATAATTATGAGATCTATCGGACAAAAAAATTGTATCACTATTTTCAGCGAATCAAAGACAGTCAACTAATTAGTAAACATAAGCCAAAGTTTGTCTCATTTGGCGGACCCGTTGCAGACATTATGACCACCATATATAACACAGATATTGATTGGAAAATATCGGCAGAAATGGTCAACGGTTTGTAGTTTTTTAAAAAAATAATATCAAAAATAATATTAATTTAATTGATATGATTTTTTTGAATATAAAATTATACTTTAGATGTAATATATTTCTACAAAACTGCACACAAATACATCCGATACGATGGTCCAACCGATCGCGACTACCGACGGTCCTATTGTTTGCTTAATTTTTTCCAATTAGCCACCAATAGGTACGACGACGAGACAGACAAATGCGAATATATTAAACATTTTGCTATCAATTGTTGCCAATTGGGATCCGATAATAATAAACTAATGACACTCAATCAATTGGACGCAATCGATGATAATGGACAGTCGGTTGGACTCAAATTAGTCAAAATGATTCGTAGATATCGTGATCGACAACCATTTTGGGGAAAAAAATTATTAAAATTCTGGTCCAATGGTTTCATTCAAGGTATGAATCAAATAGTTATTGCAAACATCGAAAACAACTATTTAATGGGTACTGAAATCAGTAAAGTATCGAAAATACCCGAATCGGCTGCAAGTTATTGGTCTAGCGATCGATGTATTGTATTTCTGAAACGTTTTTTGAAATTTATGTCAACAAATGTTAAGGAAGAAAGGATTGTCTATGAGTTTGTCTTCAATCGCGGAGAAGAATATGTCACCTGTTATCAGACAAACGATGGCAAACATATTGTTCCCGAAGACTATTAGAGTAATCATAATCATCGATATTTGACAATCATATCAAACATTTTGTTTGATTTTTTTTTGAAACTACTCTTAAATTAAAAATATTTTAATATATAAACAATATTTTTTTTGTTAATTTGATTAACATTTACTTATTTTCAAGTTTCTAATATTATAATTTTAGTTAATATTAATTATTATGTATAAAAAGTAATATTTATATATAAAATATCATAAAATATTTGTTTTATTGTTTAATATTTTCTAAAATATCAAATTATATTTAATTCAAATAATTATTTTATTTTAATTAATTAGATATAAGATTATTGAATAAAAATTTATTAATAATTAAACATATTATACTCATTTAACTATTATTTTGAAAAAATCTTATATAAAAAAATTCAGAATCGATGTCATTGTCGGATGTATTATAGGTGTCTATACTTTTCGGACGACCAACAATGCGGACATCGGCACAGCCGCGAAACGTTTCTTGTGGTCCGCACCCGACAGCACCGGTACCGTTGGCACAGACACCCCAATTATTGCCGGCCGTATAACTCCATTGAAATACACATCGATCGCATACAAGACCGTCGGGCAGTTTCAATCGTATCCGATAGGTTTCGGCCCGATTTGTTGGCACAATATATTTGTCCGATGTCTGTGAGTTTAGTACCCGAGGCCGGTATTTGTCCAGACATTGTTGACTAACTTCGACAGTCTTACTGAGCGCCGGACATAAGCCAAACTCGAAGAAACCCCTGTGATTGGTAGTGATCTGGATTTTGACGTCAATTGTGTCACCCGACCTATAGGTACGGGTAATGACCAACTGTTTGGCATATTTGCCGTTCGGCACTTCATTATCTCTTTGGCCATTATAGGGATCACCACAAACACCACACTTTCCTTTATTGACATTCCAATGAGTCTTATTTATTATAAATGTTAATAAAAAATTAGTTTTTCTGTTTTTTTTAAATTATAATAAAGAAAATTGTTTGTTAACTAACGGTAAAACCACCACAAAATAGTTGATTATCATTATAGTTGATCTCAGTTTTGAAGCCAAACCTCCAGGCACTGGATCTCGAGGCCGGATCAATGAGTCTTCCGTGACCATCAACTTCAGTAATAATTACTAAACAATATATTATTATTATTATTATTGATATTGATATTATAGAAATTAAATAAAATTTCATTATTTAAAATTGTTTAATAAAACACAGACAAAAAATATCCACCAATTTCTTTATATATTTAATTAAAAAAAACTGTACTAATAGTTAGCTTATATTGAATTTATTAATAATACTAATAATATCAAAATTAATTATAAAAAAAAATTATATTGATATCAAATTGAGACACATTTTTCTCCCAATAATATAATATACACTTAACTGAATGCTTAATATAATAAGGATTAATTTGAAAAAAATATTACCTAATTGTATACAATATTTTATATAAAAAAAATATTTTTGTTTAACTATAAAAGGTTATATAACTGTAACATTACGTTTACACTATTTGTTGGCTTTAAATAATTTAGGATGCTTAAATATAGTTTGAATATACATGAACTCAATTAAATTAAATTTATTAAAAAAACAATTTGTTTATCTATAATATTATTTTATAAAAATTTAAAATAACAGATACAAACATATCAATTGTAAATTAAAATTATATAAAAAAACCAGTTGAGAATGCTAGAAAGCATTTCCATACGAACTCCTAATCCAAATTAAAAATTAAATTAAAATCGAATGATTAAGTATGACATGGATGTGGACTCCACATTGTGGAGTAACAAATCACTCAGTATCACAGAATAAACTCAACTTTAGTAATATGGGGTATCAAATGACTCAGTATGACAAAATAAACTCAACAATTCATATAGGTTATCTAATGACTGTATGCAAAAAATAAACAACCTTAGTTATGTGGAGTATCAAATGATTCAGTATAAAAAAATAAACTTTACTATAGCCATGTAGGGTATCAAATAACTCATTATGACAGAATAAACTAAACTTTAGTCATGTGGGGTACATATGATTCAGTATAAAAAAATAAACAACAATTCATATAGGGTATCAAATGACTAAATATGCAAAAAATAAATTCAACCTTAGTAATGTGGGGTATCAAATGACAGTAGGACAAAATAAACTCAAACAATTCATAGAGAGTATCAAATAACTAAAATATATTATTATTTTTACTATAAATATAACTTAAATTTAAAGAGTATTAACTCAAGCTTTATTTTATCTATTTTATTTAAGATATAAAAATTTGTTTGCTAATTTCATAACTTATTTTTAATGTTTAATTCCAATCCAAGTATTAAATATTAATTTTAAAATCTTTGTACTTTGGCCGCCATTTTATATACGTTCTTAAAGATATTAAATTTTTTATACTAATCAATATATCTTATTTTTGAAGCTTTATTCAAATTTATATTTATAATGTTTTCAATTTTTTGTACTGTAACCGTCATTTTCTCTTTGTTCCCGAAGAGATATAAAAATTTTAATGCTAATTCCTTTGCTAGTTTTTGATGCTTTATTCAAATCTATACTTAAAAATTTCTACCTAATTTTTTTTTAACTTTGGCCTCCATTTTCTCTATATTCTGATGAGATATCAAAATTTTAATGCTGATCCCCTATATCTTATTTTTGATGCTTAATCCAAATCTGAAATCAAAATTTCAAAATTCAATAAAATGCGGAAGGACAGACAGACAGACAGACAGACAGACAGACAGACAGACGGAAGGACATATAGAATTCAGTACGTACTCCTTTCAGGAGTTCGTGATAAATACTTTTAAACTTATAATTTTAATATAAATTTATTAAATATAGTATATATCGATATATATAAATGAATTGACAAAACAAACTAATTTAACTGATTATTGATTATTAGTTATCAAATGATATTTATTTATTTATTTAAAAAAAACTATTTAATAAAATGCAATAAAACTTTTTAAACTTTTTACTTTATTATTATAGAGAAATTTTTTTTGCTATTATTAAAACTGCAATAAATATTCAAATATAGTGATAGAGGTGTTCACACAGTTATTGTCAATAAAAAAATAAAAACAATTATTTTTATTCAGTAAACAAACTATCGATTTGTTTGTATCGTTGTTTTGGTCGGAGTTTTTTATTTATTTATCTGTACCGAACTCGATGGCCACTACTACCGATAATGACCAATCAATGGACATCTTGTTTACGGGACAAGACTTGACGTCAACTGACCAAACAATTGGCAAACAAATGACGGCCGACGGCAACGAGTTGAGCGCCGTCTCAGCCGATAATCGCAACGATTCTGGTCAACAGTGGTCGTCATTACAACCGACGATCGTCAGCCGTCATCAGTGGTCAGACAATAGTCGAGTACAACAAATACGACAACAATTGTTAGACTATCTGTGCGACCAAACTCTTACACTTCCCGTCGCTTTCATTGTATTGAACAATCATATCGTGAAGACATGCGGTTACGATGTTGTCGACGACGACGACGATAGCGATGGTCAACAACAGACTGATTACCGAAATCATTGCCAACAAGTAGTCGACCAATTGCTGCGCGAGTTAGCCAAACAACAGGTCATTATCATTGCTGATGAATACAACAACAAAGTTAAGACATGTTTCGAGTCGATGACGACGACTACGGAAGACATTCATTACATTATAACAGCCGTCGATAGGATTAAAGTCAAGACATTTGGACAACAAATCAATGAACTGATAGTCGATAGACACAAATCATTGGACAAGAAAAATAAGACATTAAATGTTGGTATTAGTGATCAACTAATGAAAGACAAAGTAGACGATAGTGACAGTCAGTGTCCATCCAGTGAACAGTTGGATAGCGTTAGTCATCATAATGTTGTATATATGAGTCAAATGTGTAATAATAATAATAATTGTGTTAAAAATGTGTCGAAAAAAATGTATAAAAAGTTGAATCGTTTGCGTAATAAAAGTGATACTAATATTAATAGCTGTGAACTGAGAGTAAAAGTATTGAAAAAAGTTTATGAATCGTCAGTAAAGAAATTAAGGTATCATTGCTTGTCTTTGCTATTAATTGATTGATTAATACATTAATAATAATTTTTTTAAAAATATTTATTAAATATTAATAATAATTTTATCAGTAGTACCGGCAATATTAATAATCCAATGGATCAATTGCGACAATCAATTGAAAGCGTTAGACATCATATGAATACTATGAGAACAGCTGGTTCTCCGTTGGCGGCCATAGAGTAAGCATAAAATGTTTTATTTAAAACAAAAATTATTAATTAATATTTTCTTATTGTTTAGGGCTATGAATCAATGCTTGAGGCAACTCGAGGCCGAGTTGGCCAGAATGGCCACTTTGGGCGACGACGACGGCGTGGAAGACACACATGCCGAAGATGGTGACCAACAGGAGTATGATATTTGTTTTAAATAAATATATGAATTAATATACTAATTAAAAAATAAAATTTTATTGTTTTTTTTTACAGCATTGCTGTCGGTGGTAGCGATGCTGATTCGCCGGTTCCACCATCGAGTGCTACACCCGATTCCCAGCGCCCGCCGACTACTCCAGAAGTACTCACCACTTCTTCAGAATCGGGCGTTGGGAACGAGAGCGCCGAAGAAGATCCGGCTGTTGAGCGTCACAAACGTCTTAAATAAAAATATTATTATTTGCGTCAAAAAATATATGAATAAATTTTTGAAAGACTTGATTATATAAATAATTTATTTGTTTAATAAATTTATTATTATTATTATTTAAACACATTTGCAATGAGTCGGCGGACAATAATTGGCGGCACAATTGGTTAGACACCAGTCGTCCATATTTGGCACTCGAGTCCAGATTCCCGTTGCGCTACAGATAGCCGTTTGGATACTACTCTTTGAATCGGTTGTAGTCGTCGGCAACACTTTAGGATACTCTTTGGTCGATGAATATAATGTTTGGTTTTGTTTAGTATTTTCTGGTTTTGTTATTATTATTATTGCTGAAGAAGTTGTCTTTGTCGGCGTTATCAGTGGTGTAGTACTACTACTACTGATCCAATCCGGTACATAATAGGACAGTCGTGTCGGTGGCCGCGACGGTATCGGTGGTAATGATGACAATGTACTTCTAACGGGTGTATTATAGGCGTCAACACTGTGCGGACCACCGGCAACAATACGGACATCGGCACAGCCCCGGAAGGTTTCCTGCGGTCCACAGCCGACAGCACCGGTACCGTTGGCACAGACACCCCAGTTATTGCCGGCCGTATAACTCCATTGAAATACACATCGATCGCATACAAGACCGTCGGGCAGTTTCAATCGTATCCGATAGGTTTCGGCCCGATTTGTTGGCACAATATATTTGTCCGATGTCTGCGAGTTTAGTACCCGAGGCCGGTATTTGTCCAGACATTGTTGGCTAACTTCGACAGTCTTACTGAGCGCCGGACATAAGCCAAACTCGAAGAAACCCATGTGATTGGCAGTGATCTGGATTTTGACGTCAATTATATCGCCCGACCTATACGTACGAGTGATGACCAACTGTTTGGCGTATCTGCCGTTCGGCACTTCATTATCTCTGCGGCCGTTATAGGGATCACCACAAACACCACACTTTCCTTTATTGATATTCCATTGGGTCTTATATATCATATATTTTTAAATTAAATAATTATATATTTTTTTATAGAAAAAAAATTAGTTTTTATATGAAAAAAAATTTGTCGCTTACGTTAAAACCGCCACAAAATAGTTGATTATCATTATAGTTGATCTCAGTTTTGAAGCCAAACCTCCAGGCGCTGGATCTCGAGGCCGGATCAATGAGTCTTCCGTGACCATCGATTTCAGTGATAATTACCAAACAATATATTATTATTATTGTAGAAATTGAGCAAATTTTCGATAGAAATTTCATTATTCTGTAAATTTGTTTAACAATAGCAACAAAAATATCCACCAATTTTTTTTACATTGGTATCTATTAGAAAATATATTTATTAAAAAAATAGATTAAATAAAACAATTTTTTTTCATTATAAAACTTTTTATAGTTAGCTTACATTAAAATTTATTATTATTAATAATAATAATTGAAAAATTAGTTATAATAAAAATAACATTGATAACTAATTGAAACAAATTATTATTTTATTTTTTTTCTCCAATGATATACACAATAATGATTGTTATTAACTTATTTGCAACCACTGGGAGATCCTTAATATAATAAGGATTAATATGAAAAAAATATATATTAATATAATTTTTTATTATTATTAAGAAATGTTTGCTAAAGTGTTAATAAACACTTGAAATAACCAGTGATAGTAATATATATATACTGTATATAATATAGTAATATATAATAGTAATAATAATAATAGTGAAGTTCAACAATACTTTTTTTTGTTGTTGTCAATTAATATTTAATTAAATAGTATATGATTTAGTCATAAAAGTAAATATCAAGATATTAATAATAATAATTATTATTATTACACTTATTGTATACAATATTTTATTAACAATAAAAAAAAGGTTATAATATAACTGTAATACTTATTACGGTTACACTGTTTTAAATAATTTATGATATTTGAATATAGTTTAATAGTTTCATTATATAATACTTCACTATAATAATGATTATATAATATAAGTAAATAAATTCAAATAAACACAAAATATCTAAATATATATATATAATTTTAACTAAAACTATAAATAATTGTTACAAACTTTTGTTTTTTTTGTTATAAAATAAATTGAAATTTATCATTGATTTATAGATTGGTTGCCCATATAGTTAATGTTAGAAAATACATACAAACAAACAAAAATAAAACAATAATCTTTATATAAAAAAAAATTATTATAATGTATCAATATTATTAACATTGAAAATTTAAAAAAATAAAATAAATTTATAAATAAATACTAATAAATTTTACTAAACGAAAACTTTTCATCGAAATGTTTTATCAATTTATTTATTTATTTATATATATATATATATATGAAAAAAAAATAATTTGTAACTCGTTATCACTGAATATTATTTTGTATGTATTTATCGAGTATTTATTATTTATATATATATATATATATATATAATAATAGTGTATATACTGTAGCTATTATATTGTAGCGCATAGTTTATCGATAAGATAGACAACATTTTTTTCTCAATTGAATATTTATTCAAACTACGGGATACTGTATCTTATAGTAAGTCATATATATATATATATAATGTTGTATAAGATAGATAGATAGATAGATAGATAGATAGATAGAGAGAGAGAGAGAGAGAGAGAGAGAGAAATTCAAACAATACTTATTTCAATAGTCTTTTTTTTAAAGAATATATTGACTTTCATTTCAATTCCTAAGTTCATTGACTTTTCAATTTGAAAATGTCTTTTAATGTATTGACTGATTGATTGATTTTTGTTTTGTTTGTATTTATTTATTTTGTTAAACTAGGTATTAATGTGTTTAATATATAAAAAATATTAATAATATCTCATATATAAAAGTGTATAATTTTTTAAAAAATATTGTAATAGTATTTATTAGTTTTTCTAGATATTTTAATTAATTTATTAAAAAACATTAATTTAATGTAAGTAATTTGTTAAGTTTTGAAGTGATACACTATAGTTAAATTGTATAGCAATATTTATTATTATTATTAGTTAAACAATTGATAAATAAAACAAACAACCAAAGAGTTAAAGTTGTTGTTGAAAGGTATTTAACTTTACTTATTATTATTAAAAAAAAGATTTGTTTATTTTATTTATATTATATATAGTCATGAAAGTCATAAATAATAATTATATTATAACAATAATAATAAAAATACTGGTACTTTACCGGTATATTGAAGTTCACTGACAACAACAACATTATTGTTATTTTATAACTAAATTATTATTTATATATATAATAATATAATATATTTCAAATTTATTAGGAAATACTTAAATTATTAGATAAAGTTATCAATTTGTTGTTGTTTCTTAATAAAAGTTGAAAAATTATTTTTACTTATTATATCCCAATTAAACATAATTGATAAATATATATATAATTATAATTGATTCACATTTATTAATATCTATATATAACAAATAATTTAGATATTGATGTAAAAAACAGCACAATTTGATTATAATAGGTATTCAACGACAAAAAAAACAATATTATAATTTATAAATAATAGTCAACCCATTGCTTCACAGATAAAAATAATATCGTTTTTTCAATATAATAGAAATTGTATTTCAATACACACTATATATGATTGAATAAAATTGTTTTTCCAATTTTAAAATTGTAGTTTTTTTTGTTGTTAAAAAATATTGATTTACAATACACACAGTTATATAAATGTCTTATATATATAAATATATATATATATATTTATCTCTTTCTATTTTATCATATCAGATAATTTATAGGCTATTATAAAAATATTAGATCATATAATAAAATATCATAATAGGAAATATTATACAATATTATTATATTTGTGTAAAAATAATCGTCAAAATACATTTTTTTAAAAACAAATTATAATTCACCAAGATTATATTTCCTTTAAAAATAATAAATTTTAAAATTATATTCACAAAATTATATTAAAATATATTTTTTTCATCAAAGTTGTTATAAATTTTTTGAAAGTTTAAACTACAGTATAATCTCGTTTTTTGATTTATTTTTTTTTTGCTTAATAGTTAGCAATTTTAAAGTTTATACACACTTTCAAAATACAACAGTAAGTTTTGTATCAGTAAGTGATAGCACCGGTAGAAAAGTTTATTAATTAATGTTTGACACACCAGTTATGTGGTCACAAATTTTTTATTTTATTTGATAACTTGTATTATTTAATATATAAACATAAACTTTTATATAACATTAAGATAATTATGTTTTTTTATTAAAATTTATGCACAAAATAAACACTAAACTACTTGTGTATAAAAAGCTACTTGAGTTCAGTAAATACAATGTCAAACACGACACTATTTACACATGTATTTATTTAATAATAATAACAATTATTATTATTATTAAAATTTTTGCAAATATATTAATTTTCATATGAAAATTATGGTTTATTTTTCACATTTATATACTAAACAACGTTTTATTTTAATATATTATGTAAAAATTAAATAAAATCTTTTAATATTTCCTTAATATCATAATTGTCACATAATTGCATATAATATGGCCTAAAATTATTATAATTAATCTAATACTTTATAATGATATATTATACAGTATTTACATATTATTATTTACTAAATAATAATAATAATAATTGTATTAAAAATTATCAAATTTCCTAAAGTCATAATCCATTATTTGCTATAAACAATAGATAATTTAGCATAAAATCTGATAATTAATTTTATACACAAATTGCAAAATTATTGATATATTTTTATAATATTATTTTGAAGGCTATGATAGCAATTTATTTTAATAATAATAACAATTATTTTTAATTATTATTAATTTAATATTAATGTTTTTTAATTAATTATAATAATAAATTTAGACTATTAATTATATTATTAAATATATATTTTTAATAGTATTTAAAAATATATGTATATAGATTATATTTTTAATTTAAAAATATATATTTTCTTATTTTAAAAAAATTATTGATTTTTAATTATAATATTATATTTAGCAAAACATATTACATTATATATATAAATATATGTAATGTAAATATATTTATATATATATAATATATAATGTTCACATTGCATGAATTTGATGATTAGTTTGTACTGTCAAAAGCATGTAATAGTAGAAAAATAATTTTTTTATTTTTAAAATAAACTAGATCATTAAAATATATATTTTAAATAAAACACACAATAATGACATTTTTACTAATAAATACTGTATATATTTTTTTAATTTATTGATCACTTTCATTTTATATATATAAACTATATATTGCATATTATTTTATATTAAATAGTTCAACAATAAAATGGTATTAAATTTATTTTATAATACAATTTACAAACTATTATTATTATTATTGCTAATTAGTATATACTTTATAAATTGCTTTTATATAAACTAATTTTATACATATTTTTTAAAAAATAAATTACAAAAATAATAATAAAAACATATTACAAAAAAAATTATTATTATATTTTTTTAAAAAAAATTCAAAGTGTTATCCTCTTAACAAAACCATTACTATTACTAATCAATTTCATTGGACTATCACTGGTATAATCAGCAATCTGTGTGGCCGTCGGATAGCAACACAATCGATGGCCATCACCGACATCCAGATTGTTGACCATCAGTGCACTGGACAGTAGGCTAACATTGCCGTTGGCATTGCTAAAGGCATATCTCCATTGATATCTTGTATGGACAGTAGTATCGGACACCCAATTGACCAGTTGGCTGACATCGACATTGAAAAACTTGTTCAATGAGTCCAACTGTATATCGGTATACGACTGACGAAGAATGCCAGTGACGTAGACGTCGTCGATCCAGAAGAGAGGTTGACTAGCGATCTGATCCAACAGATCGTTGATTACATCAATTGTTGTTATATATGCCCAGCCTTTTTGAAACCCAAAAAAAATCATTAATTTTGTTGTTATTTTTATTAATTAAAATAAAATGATTAAAATGATATCATTATACATATATTTATGTATATTTTTTATTTATAAAAAAAATGTTATTATTGTCTAAAAATAAATAATAACTATCATTAAATAAACTTATTATACTGTAATATAATTAATATATAATTATAAATATATAATTAATTTTAAATACAGTCTAATTTGTAGCTTTATAATAATTAATAAAACTTATAAATTAATTAACATATATTATAATTAATAATTTTCTAATAATAATAATTTAATTATATCAATATAATTTTTTTGTTAATGCTAACTAAAACATTAAATTATTTTATATATAAAATATATATAAAAGACATTATGGTAATTATAAAATATTGAATGCAGTTTAATATTAAAAAAATATTGGTTTTTCATCTATCATATTATTCATAAACTCATAAATTATTTATTAACTAATAACTTAATAGTCTATTAAGTATTATACAATATAAATTTTTCTATAATATTAATAATAAATTATTAATAATAATACAAGTAAAGTACAATATTTTCAAATACTTAAATATATTTATATCAACAAAAAAAACTTATATATTTATCTATACAACATTGTAATACTAAGTTAAGTGTAATACTATTAATTTGAAATATTTATACTAAGCTATAATAATACAGTATTTATGCAATAGTTTTTAGATAAATTATATATTTTAATTTATAAATTAAAAAAACATTATTTTCATATATTGATTTGACATACCTGAGCAAAAATCGGGATAATATCGTTGTTTGAAATCAGTTTCCGATACATACCATCGCGAACTGGTATTCCTGATAACCTCCATGTGCTGGTGTATGAAACAGGCAATCATTTTATGTCCAACACGACTGACCAGCGGCTGGTCGGGTGATGATTCAGGAAATCTGGCCGACAGTAGCCGACCGAGAAGGTCATAGTTGACAAATATGTCGTCGTCCATTTTCATGACTAACTGAGCCGACGGACAATATTTTGCGGCCCACGTCAGGGCTGCTATATGTTTGAGTGTCAGATTTTCGTACGAGTCGTGAAACCCGGCCTGAACTATATCGCCGTAGTTATCCGACTCCTGGTCGATAAGCTTCTGGATGCTGGGGTTGACGACCTGACCGACAAAAAATATGGTCACCGAATCGGCAATGGCCGAGTTGTACTGGCGTATTGTACGCCGGAAGTCAAAGTGTCCGATCGCCGAGTGTACCAAAACCAACAGTTTCACTACAGTTACCGGATATGTCGTACACTTATCCGAATTGTTGATCAAATATCGGCCGAACGCCCACCGGTCGGTCAAATTGATATAACTGTCTCTCAGATGGTCGTCGTCGTCGACAGTCATACCTGACTTTCGGTCGGTGGCGGCAGTGGTGTCGGAGTTCAATGTATACACAAATAACAATATTATAAACCATGTGAAGACCAGTGATGATAAAAATATGATCAAAAGTACTCTCGAATGCATTGTTTTTTCAACAAAGACATGATTTTTATTTTAAATTAATAAATCAAATAAAATTTTTATTAAATATTTAATACTTGTATTTACAATAATAAGTACTCATTCATTCATTTATTCAATTCCTTATTTGGAAAAAAATATATTTATATGATATATAAAGTTTTTTTTTTATAATATATTTCATTGAGCTAACTGTGCTCTCACTTTATAATACTGTAGTAATAGTGGTAGTAATATAGTGTGTAATAGTTTTCTCCAAATAAAAAGAGAGAGAAAAATTAGGTTAACTTACTATACAGTATATATATATATATATATATACAGTATAATGTTATATTAGATTTTTCAAATTAAATGAAAAACAATTTGTTTTTTAAGTATCGGAGAGTAAGAGTATATTATATATAGAGAGAGAGGGAAGGAAAGAGAGATAGAGAGAGAGAAATAAAAAATCAATTTTGAAAAAAACAATATTTGATTTGCAATATGAAAGAGCAATGAAATTAAATAAAGAGTAAAATATAATATATATATAACTAATATACGGTATATAAATACTAAAAAAGTAGAGAAAAATCAATGTTATAGACAACACACGACAACGACTACGACTAATGAGTCGGTTATGTGTGTCTGAGCATCGCCTAAAACACAATAACTATATCTCACTATCCCTTATATATCGTATATAACACATACACACACACTATAACTACTGTACCGGAGTATAGAGACTATAATAAAAATAATAATAATAATAATAACATATAGAGTATTGTAATATTTTTAGGCTTTACTCTATGTGTGTGTATGTGTTTACAAGTAGTGTATAGTAAGTACTTATTGGTTTAATAGAGAGATGCTCTTATAGTTTACTAGAATATTATACAATTTGTTATATACGGGTAGAGTTAGGGAGAGAGAGAGAGAGAGAGAGAGAGAGCACTGGAATATTATAGTAAAAATAACATACCAGTGCTTTTAATACTGAATAAATTGAATGAATGGGAGAGATAGTTGGAAAAGAGAGAGGAAAGCATATCTAGAATATAGAGAATATACTGTATATATATATATATATCTATACAAAATATATAGCATTTTCTACTGTATTTGACAATAATGTTCAATGCATTTAATGCCATCACTACTACCACCACCAGTGCTACTAATGTTATGGGGAAATGTTAGGCACAGAATCTAAGGTTACGGCAAACTGCTGGAGAAGCGGATCGATAAGAAAACTGGGCGATCAATATGTATGCCTATGTGTGTGTATGTATGTACAGTATGTGAGTCACTCCATTGATAGGCATACCTATTCTTAAGACATATGATGACAACAACAACAACAATAAAAATTGGTTGAACACCACATCGACAACAACAACAATGGCCACTATATGTCCGCAACAGTACAACTTGGCCACAACGCCGTCGACGTCGTCGCAGTCATCGTTGCCGCCGTCGTATGCCATCTCAGTCCACGACCACATACTGCCGCCCGGCTGGCAGTGCAAGTATGACCCGAAATCGTCAAAATAGTAAGTCTTTTTCTATCTGTAATATTCTTTGGATCAATTAATCAATGGTTTTTTCATCATCACTACGACAGCTATTTTCTCAACGATCAGTTGTCTCAATATTCAGATTTCAAAAAATATGTATGTATTTTGAATATACAGTGAAAATATCATATCATTTAAACAAATCTAAAAAAATTGTTTATTATTTTGATTAATTAATAATTATTATTTTTTTATTTTTAAAGGATCACCGAAGTTCATGCCATTCCTCTAGGATATCATCTCCGTCTCATACCTTTACCACATATGGCAGATATTTTCAGGTAAATTGTTTTTTATACTATAATATTGTTTTATTTGCTATAATAAAATATAGTATATTAATAATAATATTCAGCATACAGTATACAGTATATACAGTATTATAAGTATATGAATAGATAAATATTGATGTTTATTAACATATAATATTAATAGTAAAATATAATTTTTAAAAAATAGTATTTATTCATAAATTTAAAAATCTATTTATTTTTTTAAATGATATATAACATGACAAATATATAACAAAAAAAAACAATTAATTAATTTTTTCTGTTTGTTTGTTAGCCATTCAGTTCCCGATACAAAGTATGCGATTCCGGTCCGCAGCACAAGATTTGCCAACAGTTCCCGCAAGTGGACGAAAACTATATCAATCACTTAATGAAATTGTAAACTAATAATAATAATAATAATTATTATTATTATTATTGTTTCACTATTAAAAAATAATAATAATAATAAGATTTATTTTATAACAAATAACAGATACCATAATCGCGAAAATCTGGTGATCAGTGCCCTACTGTCCGATGGCTATACCCGATCCTTTGCATTACCGCCCGATGAGTCGCTATTTTATAAACTTAAAAGTTATTTTCCGGCCGTCGATCCCGAGCTCATCCGTCATATGCTTATTAAGTAAATAATTTTTGTTTTAAAAAAAACATTTAAATTAATAATTATTTTAAATACTAATTATATATAAATATTATTTATTTGTTTATTTGTATTCGCCAATAGACACGACAATGTAGAGCATGAAGTAATAGCGGCAATAGTGGCCTCATTAGGACCGAATCATATCCGCTATCAAAGTACAGGTGCAGCACCGGGATCGCCGATGATGAAGCTCCGGTACCTTAAGCTCCTGTACCCTGATCCCGACGAGGCCATATTGTTTGATTTGCTCTACAATTGCGACCAAAACGCCATGGAGGCCATCAATCGGCTGGAGGCCATGGGCTACAAGCGTAGTGACACCATTAAGACACTGAGTGCCAAACAAGCGGCCGACTCTTCAGCAACAAAAACACCGCAAAGACCTACAAAAGCGCCTTTTGTTTTGAAAACTACTTATTTTCCGCCAAATACTACGGAAAAACAAAAAAGTAATGACAATTATATTACTAAAAAATATATATAAAAATTTCATATTAATTATATTTGTGTTTTTTTTGTTGTTGTTTGTAATTCAAGTGCTCAAAAAACTAGAGGAAAAGTTTCCGAAAGTTAGCCACACATTGCTTAACATGGCCTTAGAGTCGAGCAATTATAACGAAGATCAGGCACAGCTGTTCCTGTCGGCGATGACACCGCAAGAGTCGACAAAATATTTACCGTCGGATATTGTGTCGGCCGACTCGCTGCCGATGATGTCCCAGTACTGTAAAGGCACGCAAACTAATGCCATATTAGACATAATCACCGGAACGCCTATCAAAACGGCCAAACGTCGGGTGGCTTTCAAGTAATTTTTTATTCAAACCATCGTATTTTTATTCAATACAGTTTATATATAAATTTATTTTTTTGGCTCTAACCAGGAAAGTGACCAAAGGTACGTCTACCACAGAGGACGGCATATTTTTGGACTACAAGAAAAAACCGGTCGCCAAAGGAGCCAATCCCGAGAACCGGAAGGGACCGAACTTTTTCAATCTATTGTATGATTATTTATATATATCTATAAATTTATATTATTATTTTTTTCAATAAAAATTGTTAATTTTATAACTTATATACTGTATTAATACATTTAATGCATTTATTTTAGGCGATCCTATATCCCATGGAAAGGTAGTGACACAAAACACAAGAGCGGATCCGATCCGTTCAACCGGAAGGGTCCCGACTCGACAAACAAAAGTGGACCGAAAATCTCGGCAAAGGGACCGCAGGCCAGCAACCGAAAGGGTCCGATCGGCAAACTAATCAAGTTTGCTAAACGTAACTAATTTTTAATGTTTATGTATTGATTGATTGATGAAACACACAATTTTTAATTGATTGATTGATTGATATTAACTTAATCTAACAAAAAAAATAATATATTAATATACAGTATAAATTATATATATATACGATATATATGGTACCGTATATAATATGATGACTATTTTTTGATAAAAAAATTTTTTTGGATAAAATTTAAGACACATCAAAAATTAATTGAAATTAAATTGAAACACTTGAAAATCACAAATTAATTACAACAACAAAAATAATATCTTTTATTATTATATTTATCAACAAAAGTTTAGCAAATGGGTAGATATATATACCGGTATATAAATCATTAAAAGAGAGTATCATATATTCATATACAGTATACCGTATGATAGTTATTGTAGGGTATGTTTGTTTGTTTGTTGTTAGGTTATCGTTAGATTTTTTTGCTGTTAAATTTGGTTAAATAATTTGTTTATTAGTTGTTAGGTTTAGTTAGTTTTTTTGTGGTGATCTATATATATATATATATATATATATAGATCAGGTAGGGCCGGGATCAGTGCAATATAGTATCAATATTTAATTTATATGTGAATCATAACGAATCAATGTTTTTCCGTCTAATAATAATAATAAAACAATAGGCCATCCATTCAGATATAAATTTAAATCAATTTTTAAACAAAAAAATTACTTTAAATCGTTTTTTTCTCTAAATAATATATAAATCTATATTATATAATACCGTATATTAAGCTACTTTACAAACAAACAAAAAAATTACATTAAATTTTAAATCATTTAAATTATTTTCTTGATATACAGTACACTATTATCTTAAAATTATATTTTAAAAATTAAATTTAATATATTAATGTAAACCGTATTTCTAGTCCAAAAACACAAATATATTATATGATATATTGGCCAATGTATTAATGATGATGATTATTGATGTAAAATAAAAGATAAATAAAGTGATTGATAATAATTTATTAATAAAAATAAAAAATATGTATTATTTATGTTAAAATCTAAATTTTACAATAGTCCAATTAATATTTAAATAACATTTTTAAAAAATTAAAAAGTATATTGTATTTTCACATTTGTAATCTTTTATTACTTTATTAATTAAAAAATAAATAAATAATGTAATACTGTATAATAAATAAATTAATTAATTAATTAAATTATTAAATACTAAATTTTTTTTCACTATCATATATGATAAAATTTTTATAAAACTTATTAAATATTTCAAGTATTCAAATAGTATTCAATATCGTAAACTTACTGTAAAGTTGAGTATAAGTAACTTACAGTATAAGTAATTATAGTAGTTATACAACAACTTATCAATTTTATCACTCTGTATATATCTTATATAAATTTTTATAAATAACTAAAAACCAATTGCATATATTTAGGATTTAATTTTTTTTAAAAAAAACATTAATTATTATTTTATTTTGCTATACTGTATTTAAAATGGTTTGTTCAATTGAAACTATTGTGAAACCACTGTCCCATTGGTATCAGCTTTTAGTGATGTATCCACTTTTAATGGTGATGGCGATGATGATGATAATGACAATGGTATTGATGTTGTCGACGATACTCTCTCTTTGATAGCCGAAACTGCAACTGTTGTTAGATTTTTATTAAAATAGTATTAATATTAAAAAAAATATTATTAACATTATTAACATGTATTTATTATAATGATATTTTCAACAACAATAACTTAAAAAAAAAACATTACCTCTGTCTCCCAGTGCTACAACACCGCCGGGAAATCCAAAACTACTGGTCATAACATCGGCAAATTGGTCAACAATTTCGTTGACCGTAAAGGCCAGACTCGATAGGGTGGTAACGGCTACCATACGATTTCTTAGTAGATCCATATTCCTTCTAATATGGCCGACATAGTTGAGCAGCGGTCTGAGTCGGGCCACCAATTGATACCGACGGTTGGCCTGAGCCTGTTTGATGGCTTCCTGTATTTGGGTCTCCATTTTGGCCAAATCTCTGAGTACTTCGGAAAACTTTTCTTCCCGTTGATTGGCTATTTCATTCTCGTTCGGCGGTATATAAAGTTGGCTAAACTTGTTGACCGTTTTTACGGCAGTTATCTCTGTTTCCAGACATTTATCAATTTTTTCGTCCAAATCTATTAACAATTTAGCCGTCAATTCGATGGCATCCAATGGCTGGTCGTTCAATGGCCAACAGTTAATAATAATTGGCTGAAAATTTAATAAATTAAACACAATTACTAGCGAAACAAATAGCAAATAATTGTTTTGCATTTTTCTTGCAATGAATTTCTGATGTTGTTGTGGTTTATTAGTTGTTATTATTATTGTCTCCGAAACAATAAAATAGATGTTTCTGTGGTTTTCAGGAAGAATTTGCCACTCAATTGGATGCTAAATAAAAACAAGACGAAGAAGACGACGACGACAACTATGACGACCAAAGAATGTTGTTTTTTTGAAGTACTTCTACTTCTTCTTCTTGTATTTTACAGTAAAGTAACGATAAGAGTGAGGAAAGAAAAAACAGGAAAACTCGTGACAACAAACTTAACGGTTAGGACAAGTTGTCTGAAGAAGAATAAGAGGATAAGGGCTGTATAAACACCACATGAAAAGACCGGTTCTCTCAGATCTTTCAATCACTTCCTAGAGTTCATTGAATACTACTATTACTGTTTATTATAGTAGAAGTAGTAGTGAATGCCGTTGTCGTGACATTTTCATCGACATTGAAGATCAATCTCTTCTACCAAATAATAATAATAATAATAATAACCTGTTGTTTATATACTTTCATTTCTTTTGCTGAATGAATGATGAAAATGACCGATAGATACAGTCATTAATCATCAATGGCTCAGATGGTGTTAACCCTCAGAGGTTAACCACACACTTGAAAGTACTGGTATGTGAGTGAGTGAGTGWGTGTGTGTGTGTGTGTGTGTGTGTGTGTGTGTGTGTGTGTGTGTGTGTGTGTGTGTGTGTGTGTGTGTGTGTGTGTGTGTGTGTGTGTGTGTGTGTGTGTGTGTGTGTGTGTGTATGTGTGTGTGTGTATGTGTGTGTGTGTGTGTGTGTGTGTGTGTGTGTGTGTGTGTGTGTGTGTGTGTGTGTGTGTGTGTGTGTGTGTGTGTGTGTGTGTGTGTGTGTGTGTGTGTGTGTGTGTGTGTGTGTGTGTGTGTGTGTGTGTGTAAGTGTGTGTGTGTATTATAAATATTTTTTAATTTCACTGTTAAGTACAGTATATAGTTTTCAACAAAATATGAATTAACATTTACCGGTATTTTATATTATATAATATTTTATTGATATAGTAGTTTGCAATTATAAATTATAACAACAAGTAATATAATGCACACAAAAAAAATTATATATTTTCAACAACAAAAGATTCATGTATTTATATTACATTTATATATGTTATAAATTTTCTAGTTATTAATAAATTATAATAAAACACTATATATATATATATATATATATATATATATATATAAATATATAAATTACTAATATCTGGTTTAGTAGACTATTCTAACATAATCAACTAATTTTTAGTCATTCAATATTAATCCATTATAATATATGATAATAAATAAATATTTTTAAACTTTAGATTTATAGAAAATTTATTATATAAAAATTGTGTAAAATTATTAGTTATTTATCAAAAATTCAATCTTAAATATTAATAATTATATAATACTTATAATGTGTTTTTAGTGAACTATATTTGTAAATTGATATTTCATACAAAATGCACAGATATATTGATAAATAATATATTGATTGTATTGGTATACTAGTATATACTGTACTATTTAAAAAAAACTAAATCATGTTTTACCCATAGATATGCAATAAAAAAACTACATATTTATAGTATAAAGTGCAAAGTTTTTTTAATATTATATAAATAAAATGCAAATGTAATGCATAAATAACTTTTTTTTCTATGATTTATGCAAAATTAAAAATCACATCATATAACTTTTTTTATCTAAATAAAAAAATATCATATAGTTATACCGGTATTATAGATGATAATAATATTATATAATAGATATAATAATTTGTAGTATTTTCCAAACTTTTTTTTAAAAAAAATATAAATTTACATATGATTTAAGTAAAATAAAATGAGTTTCACATATCTATAGTTATTGAAAAAAATATATATATATTATACAATAATAGTTACTTTTGTTGAATTCAATCAAATAAAACTATATATTACTGGTATTAGCAAAATAACAATAAGTTTAAGTATTATTTTAAAAAATAATATATTATATATGTTAGTTAAAATAGTATTACAGTTAACTAATAAATTAAATAAAATTAATTATACTATATGGTAATAGTAATGATTATATGATAAATAATATATGAAAAAATAATGTATAAAATAATGTATAAAAAAAATATTTATATATATAAAAAAATGTTGTGTCTATACTTAACACATGCGATACAACAACAACAACAAAAATATGGTTAGAAATGGTAGTGTCGATAGGATAGTTGGGTTAGTAGAGAGATAGAGATAGATGTTGCTGTAGGTGGTGGTGGTGGTAATAGTGGTGATATGTGGGGACAGTTGTCTAAACGTCGTGTTGCTTAACCATAATGTGGTGGACATCTTTACCTGACAGTATTAGAAAGTGGTTGACCTGTCATTTTTTCAACAAAAATAAGTCAATCTAACGCTGTCTGGTAAGATGTCCCCAATCATTATGTTTTTTTTTGTTGTTGTTGGTGGTGGTGGTGGTGTCTGTGTGTGTTTGATGGATCTGATCCCATGTTAGCTCCCAATGTCACAGATATACACCATATATCATACCAACTGAATGATGACTTCAATGATGTATTGAATTGAATTGAATTAGTCGACAACTGGATCACAACTGAACTGATGATTAGTAGTCGTCAAGTGTTTTAAGTAATAATAATATCAATACTTTTTTTTGTCTTTCTATATATATATATATATATATATGTCTCATCAACTTTGGTGACAACTCAATGACAATATTATATTATATATATATATATATATATTTGATAATATCTATTAATATTAGATATCAAGTCTTAATTTCCTATAATATTCTCTCAATATGATTGCGACAAATAATAATCAAAAAATAAAACTAAATTAAAATTGTTTGATATTTTTTTCAATAGTTTAAGTTTCAATGACGCCCAGATGCTCTCAACTAAACTTTCTTAAATAGATATGTAATTGAAAAAAATGTATTATATATATACATATACAGTATACATATATATATACACACACACATATATATATACTGTATATGTTATATTAAAGAAATATATATATCTTATGTATATATATTAAGAAAATTAGAGTACATGACTAAAAAAACAGTACTATTATTGGTAATATATTTGTTGATTATTAACAGATTTTTTTTTAAAAAACATTTTTATAGATAACAACAAATATACAGTATATTCATATGCTATCAATTTTCTTTCGGATTTTCACATAGACTGCCCAAATGTACCGGAATTTCAAATGATAAGTTAGTTTATAATTAGTGTGTAAAATGTTTGATATATATATACTTAAAAAGTTATTCAATGTATTCAATATTATGTAAATATTTATATATATACTGTATATATATTATTCTATTATAATCTATATGTATATACAGTATTTTATTCTCAATTGTATTTATTAAATGTGTTTTTATTAAATATATTTTTAATATTTATAGTATATAAATATTTTTTTAAAAAAATTATGTTAAATTAAAATAGATATTATTTATATCACAATTTTTTACATAATTTTTATTATTTAATATATAGTATCCATCACTCAAGTAGTCTAGTCTAGTAGTACACCATATTCTTCCAGTTCCTCCTAAAGGATGTGACACTTAATAGATACTCTCTCTCTCTCTCTCTCTCTGTGTGTGTGTGTGTGTGTGTGTGTGTGTGTGTGTGTGTGTGTGTGTCTGACAAACTAATATTTATTATCAATAAACAGTTGCAATCAAAAAATACATGCAAATTATATCAGTAGTTAGATATTAGGAATATATTTAGATTTATAATAAATAGTTTCAATTCAGCACTAATTCAGTAGTATTGCATCCGATATACTAAATGGCCAATCATAAGGTACAGTATAATACTGTAATAATAATAATAATAATAATAATAATAATAATAATAATAATAATAATAATAATAATAATAATAATAATAATAATAATAATAATAATAATAATAATAATAATAATAATAATAATAATAATAATAATAATAATTTTTATAATTGTAATGAGACGGCACTTGGAAACAGTACCACATCCTTGACATGTGTGTGTGTGTGTGTGAGCCTCCCGTTACCACTGATAATGTATATGTTATATATATAAATTTTTGTGTGTAACTGTATGTGTTTGTGCCTATAAAATAAGATTGTAATAACTGTCCTATAATATGGGCACAAACATTATACTCCAGATGGCTATTATTTGTTATATATATATATATATTTATGATATAACAGTATATATATTTTAATTAATTAAAATATATTTAGTTAACAAATCATTATAATTATAATAATTATTAGAAATAATATTTGAATATTAATTTTTTATATTACATTATTGTTACATACTGTGTGTGTATATATATAAATATAAATATTAATTTTCATTAATATTGATTACATTTACAAGTTATTTGTTAACTATTATTTTATAAGTATTATAATATTTTGATATACCATTTTTTATTTTAATTAATGCATTTATAATGTATTATTTTTTAATTAATTATTTAATGTTAGTTTTATGTTAGCTGCTATTACACTATACTGTACTTTTTTTTATTGATGACAAAATTAAATTAATAGCCTATTGTGTATTGATCTAAATTTGTGTAAATGTTTTATATATATATATATATACCGTAAAATTGATATACAGTCTAATAGATGTTTTTTTTAATGAATGATACTATTTGTTTCAAAAAAAATTTTTTAATCATTAAAAATAAAGATAAAACTTTTATTTTTGTTGTTGAGAGACACTGTTCTGGATTATACAATGAATTTTCATTTATATATATACAGTATTTATTTGATGAGATAAATGTTTTTTGAAATATTTTTGAGACATTAATTTTTATTATAAATAAAAAAAGGAAATACAAACAAAATTGAGAAAAATAACAAAAAATTGTTGAGAAAAATATATGACCAAAAACTTTCTGTTAAATGAATGAAAATTATTATATACTGTATATATATATACAGTATATTAGAAAAATTAGATAAAATATTATTTTCCACATATTGTACTATTAATATATATATAATTTTGTTTATACATTCATATCCAAAGTTGATATATTAAATAATTTGTTAGAAATATATAAATAACAAAAAAAATGTACTAAAGTTTTACTTAAGTTTTCTTATTGCTTAACAACAAGTATATAAAGACACTATTAGTCTATAATTAAAACTTTATATACAAAATAAAACTAATTTATAGTTATTATTATTATTATTAAAATTTTTATTACATTACGTATAAGTGTTTGCTAATAACTGTTAATATATTAAAAATTTATTTTAATTAGTATTTCAAATTAAATAATAGTTAATTAAAATTTACTAAACTTATTATTCAAACTAAATCTACATAAATATATATAATCTAATTTTATTAAATTATTATAACTTTTTAAAAAATTAAAATAAATTGTTGTTATATTACTAATAAAAATAAATAAAATAACAAAATATTTGGTTAAATTAAAAAAATAATAATATATTTATTGAGAAAAAAAATTGTTTGACTCAACCCAGTTGAACGATAATTTGAAGACAAAAAAAAATATAATTTATATATAAATCAAATATTACACAAACATTTTCAATAAACCATATGATCTGAAATAATTGTATAACAAAAAAAAACTGTTATCATTTAGCTGAATAAAAATCACAAAATAAAATCTAAAATTATTATAAAAAAACAATAATAATAATAATAAATATTTTTCTTTAAAAAATCACATCATTTAAATAAATTATTTTTTTTAAGAAAACATTAAATCATTTTTTTGTGATAAAAAAAATACATTCACTTAATACAATACTATTAATACAGTATATAAAAAATGGCTTTTATTGCTATATATTTAAAAAAATTGTTTATAAAATTATTTTTATGAATTAAGACTATTGTAGTGAAACACACATAAAATCGTGAATATTTGTCACAATTTATTCACTTTTTTATGGCATTGGATGATTGGATTTTTTGAGATTATATTTTTGTTGTTGTTAAAAATATTAAGAGAGAAAGAGAGAGAGAGAGAGAGAAATAAATAAAGAGAGAAATAAAGAGAGAGAGAGAGAGAGAGAGAGAGAGAGAAATAAAGAAAGAGAGAGAAATAAGAGAGAGAGAGAAAGAAAGAGAGAGAGAGAGAGTTTATGTCACCTACACATCGCTTTATATAATTATATTTGACTTTTGAAAATTATGGGGCGCTTTACGTAACGTTTAGTTAGGTTTTTATAAACACACATAAAAAAAAATAAATCCATTTTCCATAAATGTTCAGCAAATTTATAGTTGCAATTATTTGCAAACAACAAATAGTAAACTAGTATACAGTATATAATAATTGTATAGTCAAATATAAACTGTAGTATAGTATAGTATATATATAATTGACAAAAAAACCCACCGAAAAAAAATTTTATACACAATTTCATTGACAAAAATTGAAGAGGCGTTTAAAGCTATACATTCCCTAATAATATTATACTATAAGTTTAACTATAAGTATGTATGGCCTACACCAGCACTGCCCTAAAATATATTTTTTAAAATCTCTCACTCACTCATTCATTCATTTATTTACTCACTCACTCACTCGTAATAAAGTTTAATTGTCCGATAAATATGATTAAACAAATTAAATTTATATATATATATACTGTGTATAATGTTAAATAGTAATCTATTTATTGATAGTTAAGATAATTTTAACTGCTTAAACATAATTAACTACTGGTATTAATAAACGTATTATTAATATGTTTTAGTAATTACATTTAAAAAAAATTAGTAATTTAAATGAAATTTAGATTTTATCATCAAAATTATTGTTTGAATACATTAAATCAATCAAATCTCAGTTAACTCTCTCTCTCTCTCTCTCTCTCTCTCTCTCTCTCTCTCTCTCTCTCTCTCTCTCTCTATTAGTCAAAATTGAAAAAAAATATAAAAAAATTATTTTTTAGTTTTTATTTATTTTATAACAATATTTTTTTCTTATAATCAAATTAAAAAACAATTTAGTCTCTTTTAAATACAATTTTAGCAAATATAATTGTATAAATTTATTTATTTTTCAATATATTTTATAAAGATAAAATAAAATGTTAAATAAAAATCCCTTTTTTATAATTTATTATTATTATTATTACTAATAATAATTATATAGAAAATTTAAATAAAATGACAATTAATTTAAATATATCAAATAAAATCTAAAAAAAGTAAACCTTTTCTTCAAAAGTTTCCAATTTTATATATTTATAATTTTTTTTTATAATAATTATTATTATAATATTTAAAATATAAAAATCTAATGAATAATTATTTTAACGTTAATAATAAAATAAATTCAATTCATTTCGGCGCCTAAAAAAATCGTGGAAATCAATCAATAATATTATATCAATAGTTATGAATGAATTGAATACTCATATTATATATATATTTATATTTATATAAAAAAGCAATAATAATAATAATATTAACGAAAACTATTATTATTTGTGTTACAAATAATTATCAATAATAATAACGACAATATTATTTTTTTTAGTTAATAATTTAACAGTAATTTGACTTAATTTTTTTCAGATGTTTTCATAACCAAATACCAATTAATTAATTAATTGATTAATAATAATAATAATAATAAAACAATATCTAAATTAGATAATCGTTTACATGTTATTAAATATAAAAAAGTATTGCAATAGTTTTTTTTAAATATATATAAATTATTTATATATATTTATAAATATATATATTTAGTACCCTATTGTTTTTGGGGCTTTTAAGTTCACTTTTTAAATAAATATATATATATATTCAACTGTTTTTTGTTGTTGTTATGTATCTTTACAAACATTTATATACGAAATAGTTTTAATAATAATAATTTACAAATATATGAACAAAAAACTTTTTTTTTTACTTTTTTGTTCAATTGGAAGACACATTAAATATTTCAAAATCAAAAATTATATATTTATATAATAATAATATTAACTTTTTATGATTTTGTGTGTATGTGATAATTGTTATGTATATATATTTATATATTGTGTATGTAAAAAAAATTAAATCATTTTTAGCCCCCTATTGTTAAACTATTAATAAAAAATTAATAAAAACTTTTGTTTTTTTGTAAATGTATCGCTAAATTGCATATTTATATATAACTTACAAATAGATTATTATTATTATTAATAAAACAATTAATTAAATAATTTTCATTTTTTAAAAATCTATTAGTCAGACTTGTTGTTGATGTTATTATTAATGTTATTGTTGTAATAAATTTGTATATCATTTAAAGTGATGACTATTTCATGATTATAATGTTTTGTTTTGTTTTTTTTGTTACAATTAAACAACAAAAAAATTGTCTCATAATATGTGTGTATGTTTTTTTATGTAACCAAACCGTAGATGAAAAATATAGATTTATTTATATATAGATATATAAATAACTACCCGTTCGTTGAAATTAAATATATATATATATTATATACTGTATATAAAGTTATGTTTTATATATATATTTGTTTGTATTAAAAATTGAGTCCTTTTATCGTAAAAAAAGACTAGTCGTGTATACAAATAAACTTCAATTCACTTCAATTTTTTTTATATAAATAATTCACTTTAAAATATAATTAAAATTAAAAAAACAATAAAAACCCTGATTTCGGAGTACATAATAATAATAATTAATAATAATTTTGGTTTTTCTCTTAACAATTAAAAAAAAATTGATTTTCAATTATCAATAAAATAATAGCTAACCGACACCTAAACTTTTTTTTTTATGTTGAAGATATATGAGAGATGTGAGCCCACTATAGTATATAAACTTTTATATAATAATAATAATAATAATAATCAATGATATAATATATATATAAAAAACATGACATGAATGGCACGTATAGGCACTGATATAATAAGGGTTTTTCTGTTTTTTTTATAGTTTAGTTTAGTTATGTTTTTTTCATTTTAGTTATTATTATTAGTAGTTAACAAAACAGTTGGCTAACACTTCTGCCCCCTAATAAAAAAGTTCAGATATTTGGTTATATATAATAATAATATTCCTAATAATATTAGTTAATTAATCAATCAATTAATCAATTAATTAATTAATAATATGATAATAACACATTTTGTCATAATTAATAATCACTATATATATTAAAAAATTATCGGCTAAATTTATGCTAAAAAATAAAATTATTATTAGTGTATTATAATTGTGTTTTTCATAATATTTTTTTTGTTTTTCAGTCAATTTTTATTGTCGGCCCGATCGCGGTCCCCACGGCGTATTGCGCGGGCTATCGTCAACCGGTGTGGCCGCCGGCGCCGACATTTCACTACAGAAAGACGGAAATTCTTGGGCATCAGTAGTATCGGGTACGGCTTGTCCGCCGCCGCCGCCGCCTCCTCCTCTCAGCTCCCACGGGCCGCCCTTGACTACAAAACCCGAATCCTTATTGGAGTGTCGTTCGGTATTTGTATGACGACTGGGCGCTACAAATTCGACCACTTCGTCAATCTATTTCAATTAAGACAACAATTAAGACAACAATTAAGACAACAATTAAGACAACAATTAAGACAACAATTAAGACAACAATTAAGACAACAATTAAGACAACAATATTTAATAATAAAATTAGTCAACAATAACCAAAAAATACTTACATATTCTTCGGCCAAATTCAACAGTTCGTCTCTACATTCGTCAACATTTTCGGCCAAACCGCTAATAACTACCAGATCGGGACTGTGGCCATCGCTGCGCGGAAATCGTATGTCGACGCTATACTTGTCCATAATTTTCCTGATATTCTTGCCTTTGGCTCCAATAAGTCGCGGATGAACTCGACTATCAATGTAAACCTCTTCGTGAACTAGTTCTTCGAGATCGCGTACAATCTTTTGGATCTCGTCTTTGGCTGCGTTGACATCGTTTTCGTAGCCAATAATAGTAATTACATCCTTAATGTTCTCATCATCGTTGGTACCGCCGCTGTTGCTGTCTCGTCGCTTTAGTTCGGGAAACTGTATCTGAACTTTGAACTTATCCCTGATTTTCGTAATAATGGCGCCGCGTTTGCCAATAATTTTCGGATGATATATGGGATTCACGTGAATCGTATCCGAATAACTCTTGGCCTGTCGTTCCTGTTGTTCGCCTTCGATCTTCAGGACGCGTTCGCCAATTGCTTTCTCAGCTCGACTGACGTTTTCTTTTGAACCGGTTATTCGGATTGCATCGCTGGCAGCACTGGGCGGTGGAACCGATATCGATACGTCGTAGGCATCCATCAGCTTACGAACTTCGGCACCTTTGGCACCAATGATAAATCGGTGCATATCGAACGGTACCTGTACTTCGATACTGATCGGTATCAGTGCCATAAGTGCCGCTTTGGCCGACTCACAATTCTCCGGTCGACCGGTAACCAAAATAATGTCCGATTTTTTAGTTTTGTCAGTCGGACTGACTGGCGACGACGTGGGGTCTACATTATCAGCGGCGTTACCGTTGTAATCGCCATTAGGCACTTCGTCATCACCGGTTGGACCGCCGGCGACACCGTTTGTTCCGCGTTCGGGAAACTTGATACGCACGTCGTGCTCCTGTGTAATGGACTGGACTCGTGTACCGCGAGTTCCCATTAGGGTTCGATGATATTTGGCTTCGATCACAACTTCGACAGTGATCTGAGCGTCCAAATCGGCAATAATATCGAGAATACGCTGTTTGGCGCCTTCGACACAATCTTTGGAACCTTTGATTACCACACGATCGCTGTCTCGTTGGGCACTTCGGGGAAAACTGATTAAAACACCACCAAAATCGTCACCAATTTGTTTGAGTTTTTCGCCCCGTTTGGCCACAAAATGTTTGTGATATTTCGGATCGACGCGCATCTCGTCTTCGACTACTTTTTCCAAATCTTTGACCATTGTTTCCAACATTTGTTTAGCTTTCTTAACCTCTTCTTTCTTACCGCTAATATAGACAATATCCCGATCTTCAGTAGACTCTTCTTTGGCCGTCGGAAACAATACCCGAACACCAGTACTGTCCCTAACTTTTCGAATATTTGCACCATTTTTTCCAATTAAATAGCGATGCAATTCGGGTTTGATTTTGATTTCGTCGCTATGATTGTTGATCTGTTGTTCGTTAGACGTATCGATCAACAATTTCTTAGCCTTTTGGACACAATCTTTCGGGCCACTGATGGATACTTTATCGCTGCCGGAGCCCTGATCGGGAAAACGGATCAGAACGCCACCGCATTCTTCGGATATCTGCCGAATGCCGCGACCTTTGGCGCCAATTATATAGTTGTGTATCTTTGCCGGTACTATGATGTCGACGGTAACCACGTCGGCCTTTTCATTTTGGATGGCAATTATCCGCTCTTTGGCCAATTCGACGTTCGGCTTGAGGCCAGTAATGACAATCATCTCAGAGTCGGCCCCTTCAGCAGGCAAATCGATTCGGGTATTTGTTTCATCTCTTATCTGTTAATTAAAAAATTATTACGGTAATATATTTGAACCAAAAAAAATAAAATGTAATTTAATATACATTTTCTTATATCTAATTTAAAATTTCCTAAAATTATTTGCAAATTTCTATTATTTTTTTTTTAAATATATAATACTGTATTTGATTTCAAGTGCTAGAGTTCAATATAAAAAAAATACATATACTGTGTCTGTGTGTGTTTAATAAATAAAAAAAAATCACTTATTATTTTAAGATAATTTGTTGTTGTCTTATAATAATACTTATTAGATATCTTACTAAATGTTTTTGCAATAAAAAAAATTGTTTAGCAAAGCATATTGTTTCTCTCAAACAGCTATTATAACTAAAATAATTAAATATAAATAATTATATATACAGTATATATAAAATAGTGATACAGTATTAAAAAAAAATCCAACAACTATTGCACAAACTAAATGATAAGATAATATACTGTATGTATGTCACTATAATCAATAATTGACAACAACAACAACAAGGTAACTGTGAAGCACTGGTAGTTGAGATAAGCCTAACTAACTAACTGTCCTTCAATTGACATACCTTTTTAATATTGGCACCCTCTTTGCCGATAATAAATTTATGGAACTGTTTAAATATAGGCACTTCCACTCTATGGTTATTGGATAGGAGTTCTTTGTTGAGCTGAGACAAATGCTTATAGCATAGATCGACATCTTTACGATTGCCACGAATGGTCACTCTATCGCTACGGTCATTGGGTTCGGGAAACATAATCATTACCTATAGTGTTACGGACGACAACAAACCAATAGAAGTTAATACTAGTTTTAAATCAATTACCGGTAAATTAAAAACAAATTTAAATCCCAAACCTGATTAAACTTATCCCGAATTTCGCGAATACTTTCGCCTTTGGCGCCAATCATTTGCCGATGAAATCTATGTTCAATCATCAGGTCTTTTGATACTTCGTTTTCTCGTTCAATCATTTTCTTAATAATTATATCCAATTCCTGGCGAGCTTTGGCCACACTCTGCGGCGAACCTTCGATGCGTATAATATCACTGCTGGCCACATGTTCGGTACCTTCGCTGGGTATATGTATTTGAGCACCAGTTTCCTCGCGTATATGTTTAATTTGGACACCATTTTTACCGATAATAAATCGATGATAGCGTGACTCAACCTTCAATTCGTCGACAATAATCTTCGATTTGATTTCATTGATCACTTGACCAATAACTTCGCGGGCTTTGGCCACTTCGGCAACCGGTCCGTGCATTTTGATTTTGTCGTCGTTGGCCACAAACGATACGTTAACTTTGGGAAACTCTTGGGATATTTCATTGAATTTCGATCCTTTCGGTCCGAGTATGTACTTGTGATACCATGAGGGCACCTGTATCTCATCGTCGACCTCACTGTGCGCTTTCTGATACAATACGGCCAGTGCTGGACCCAGTTTTTCTTGTTCGCCTCGCAGTACAATCGTTTCCGATTGGCTATCGCTGGCCGGCATCTCAACCGATACACCCGTTTCCTGGAATATTTCGTTCAGCGTATGACCTTTCGGTCCGATGATGTACTTGTGCTGCGATTTTCTGACTTCCATCGACACTGTCTGACATTTCTTTTCCCGGTCTCTGAATATTCTCATAATCCGGTCTTTTGCTTGTAGTACTGCCTCCCGTTCGCCGGTTATTGTTATCTCTTCTTTGTTAACACTCGGTGGCGGTATATTGACTTTGGCTCCCGTTTCGGACATAATCGCACTCAAGGTATCGTTAAACGGTCCGCAAATAAACGGATGATAAATCTTCGGTATCTGAACCGATTCTTTAGCACGACTGGCCATTTCGTTGCTAATCAATTGGATTTCGTGAACGGCTTTATCGATGCCTTCCTTATTGCCGACAACTTTAATCTGATCCGATGTATCATTCAGTCGAGGTATAGTTATTTTCGTAGCCGTATTCTGTTCCAAAGTGGCCAACTTTTGGCCATTTTTACCCAAAATAAATCGATGATGTTCTTTAGGTATGGCCACAAATGCCTGGGCTTGTGTTTGCAGTTCCGATGAAATCATACGTTTGGCCAGAATTACTGTATCTTCTTTGCCGGTAATCAGGAACGTTAGGGTACCGTCTTTCGAGACACTCATCTCGATGTGTGCCGAAGTTTTCTGCATAATATCCGCACAAATCTTCGACTGTTCCGCTTGTTCTCCAAATCTTGAATTCAGTTCACGATAGCGTCGTTCTTCAGGCGCCACACGAAATACTTGAGTTATATTCGATGATTTCACTTTCATAGTGGCCTTCATTGCCCAGGGATTACTGGCTCCCGGATCGCAACCGTCCGAACGGGATTCCAGTTCCGGTAGTGTCGGAAACATATCGTCATAGGATGGTGTGGGCAGTGCCGCTGTACTGCCAGCCGGTGCCACTGACGCCGATAAAGGTTCGACAATACCGCTGGTGCCGGCAATTGGATAGTCGTCGCCGATGACGACGGCGGCGGTGGTGCCAATCAAATGTTGTCCATATGATGATTGCGGTTCGTTGGACGCCACGCCGTAATATGGCGCAGCCGATACATGACCATTGGGGTCGGTTAAGCCGACGGCGGCTGCTGCTGTAGTAGTAAACTGACCGGTAAATTGGGGGCCATCGTAGGCCATTGCGGGATCCGGATTCATAATCGGGTTAATCGGTTCCGAGTCTTACAGTACTTCTACAGTGAGAGAGAGAGATGGGGTGAAAAAAGAGGAGCATTTAAGACAGGTATTCAAAAAAAACATTTAATATTTTTTTTTTATAATTTAAAAACCGGTATTTAAATCCTATATCAAAAAAAAAATAATAATAGATATGTTATATCCTATAGTATTTAAAGCGCCGCTAAATATAATGGCTACACATATATGTCTGGGAATTGTATGGGAAGTGATGGTAGGGATTATAAGAGAGAGAGAGGAAGTAATTACATACACAAAGAGTTAGGACACTAGAAGTGATGGACTGATTGATTCAGACTTAATTGATTGCCACGTATTACGTGATTAATACACTCATCAATGAGAGAGAGAGAGAGAGAGAGAGAGAGAGATATGTATATATATAACCCATATTTGTGGCCATTTTGCAGATATATATTAAGAAAAAAAAACTAAAAGAAAAATCTAGTGATAATCACTTAGTGCTGTCGATGATAATGGTTAACACAGTCATCAAATGATGTTTAACCACACTTACAAACAGACAGACAGACAGTCAAACACATTGTACGTGAATGACGTGTCACTGGGTATTGGGTCTCGCAATTGGTATTTGTTGTTAGGATCAGCTATTGAAACACTTGTGTTGAAACAATTAGCCACCGATTAGGTTAGGGTTAGGTTTTTAGTAACACTTACCCGTACTGTCGCCGTAATGACCGTCCACTTAAAGGGGGTAATCGGGTCTATGACTTCAGTGTTGTCCGCTTTTTTGTTGCCGTATTGATGTGTATAGCGTTTGATGTGTTTATAGTGTTGTCGTGTTTTTGAATGAGTTGTCTGTCTATCACTCCTTACTTAACGAGCGATACAAACACTACTAACAAGTATTATAAAAATATTTTTATATGTATTATATATGTATTGCTGTCTATAGCTATACTATAGCTATAAGTGTAGTGTTGGACACATACAACACGACATACTCAGTAAATACTATATACACACCAGTAAAACATTACAGACATTATGTAATGCAATACAACAAACACTACTACAGTGAGAGAGAGAGAGAGAGAGAGAGAGAGAGAGAGAAACTCATACATACATACCGTATACATACAGTGTGTGTGTGTGTGTTGTGTTGTTGTTGACTCTTAAAATGTGGTTAAGGTTTTTTAACCACCTTTTCAATGCCTGCTATAAGTTTTTTTTATAAAAAAAAACATATACACACCGACAATACACTGTATATATATACAGGTATATATACCCGTCCATCCATAAGCCATAAGTTGTAGTCACTGCCCTTACAGTGTGTTTTGTGGACGGCATATACTGTATATAATAACACGCATACATGCATACCGGGCGCTAACTTTAAAAAAAACTACAATTAACTAAAAACAACTATAATTTTTTTAATAAAAAATATTTATTTATCAATTTGTTTAATTGTTTGTGTGAAACATAATACTATAATTAATATATATATATATAGTTTTTTTGTTTAATTAAAAAAAATATTATTATAATAAATATATGTATAATATTTTTATTATATACTATATAATAATTGATCAAAGCACCGGTATAAATATTATTATATATAAATATTACTAGTACCGGTACAGTAGTAATAATAATAATAATACATACATGTTTGATAATATACTCTACTATATATATATATATATATATATATATATATATATATATATAACTGAAATATAGTAACAAAAAAAATGTTAATAATTTATTATTATTAAAAATTATTTGCAAACAATAGCGTTATATTATTATTTTTATTGATTTATTTATTATTTATTTAATTTTTTGTTTCTATACATTTTGTAGTCAATGTACTCAAAATACCAGTACATTTTTTTTAAACAGTAAATTACTATTTATGATGCTATAAATTTATATATAATTTAATAATAATAATAATAATAATAATATATTGAAATGTATAAAAACATTTATTATATAATAGTCCAATAATTTATTTAAATTTTATAGCATCGATTTGTATAGAATATTATAAATTCAATAAATAATAACAAATAAAATAATAAGGGTTATTTGTGATTAATAATATCAAGCATTTTTTTATTTGTTAAACTAATTTGTAATCAAATTGTATGTAATCTTATTATTTAAATGTATTACACTATTATATTTAATTTTTATTATTATTATAGGCAACTAAACAGCTATCATACTGTATATCAATATATATATACAGAATATATTATTAAATATCAATATATACAGAATCTATTACTAAATACACAGTGTTGTTGTTGTTATTATTATTATTATCATTAACAATGGCCTTAATATTGAAACCCCTGCCTCTCACCCCCACCCCTACCTCCGACTAATCGATTAACATAATAATAATTTTTCCAAAATATTTTATCTAATAATAATAATAATAATAATAATAATATCACAATAAATTAATTGATAGATATACAAATATATATATATAGTATATTGATAATATTTGAACATAATAATCATAAAATGATTATTATCATATAAAAATTTGTTAATAAATTATTTATAAGTAGTACCGTTAATAATAAGTAGATTATTAATATTTATAAATGTTTAGTGTCATCAAAAAAAACTATTGGTAGGTATTAGTAGTAGTAGTAGTTGAGTCTAATTAATATTTATTATTATAAATTATTTAACATAAAATAAACAGCAAAAATAAAATCCGATAATACATTTTTATTTTTATTTTTAATCTATTGTTATATTTACTACAACAGTATTATTATTATTATTATTATTATTATATTGGAATATAATTATTATGTTATTTAGTAAAAATTAAAATATAATAATTATTATTATTATTTTTATAAATATATACAATATATTAAGTTATCTACACTTCAAACACATAAATGTCACCAAACAAATGATGATAACATTGTTAATTTGAAAGTTAGTATTATTATTGTTATTATTAATATCATTATCATAATAATAATAATAATAATAATAATAAATTTATTATTATTATTTGTACTGTACTTTCGTTAAATTAGACTATCGATAACATGGTTTTTATAATTATCATAACTATCAATATCAAATATTTACTTTAATTTATATTTTTGATAAATAATTTAGCACAATTAAGGTACTATTGTTTAGCTATAATAATAATAATAATCATTATTAAGTTATGATACATAAATTTATACAGTATATTCAATAAATATAAGTTATTAATATACAGTGTATATATATACTGTATATATACTGTATTATATCCTCTATATTGAAAATCAGAGATTACCTGTATATTACAGATTATATTTATAAATACAGAATATATAAATAAATAATAATTTTTTGTTGAAAATTTAATATATATTTTTGTTTGAATAATAGTGTAGAATAATTTTTATAGATTACAGTATATACAGAATATTTATGTTTAAATTTTAAAACAACTGTTAAATATATATATAAAAAATTAATTTAATAAACCAGTAGTTATAAAAAAAATAGTTTATTATAATAATAATTAAAGTTAAATATATAAAATAATAATAAAATAAACATACATTCAATCAGTTAGTTAAGTGTATATGATAAAATTTTTTAATAATAATACTGTAATTTATATTTTTATGATTTTTTTACAAAAAAAAATGCTATCAATATAGATATGACAACACTAAAAATTTTGTCATTAACTCATTACCATTTATAATTTTATTAGTATCAAACATAATTATTATCATTGTAAATTATTTAATTATAAATACAAATTATAGTTATAAATATGACAATGGAGATTACAATGCATATAACAATTAGATAATATATATAAAAATTTGGTTTATAGATGAAAACTTACAAATTGTGTGGATGAACACAACAACAACAACAACAAATTTTACAGTATATTTTATTATTAGTAAATTTAATTAAACAATTTTTTTTTATTATAAAAATAACAAATCTAATTATTAATTAACCAAAATCATAGCCCAGCCCACCCCTACCCCCACTGAATGTTGTTATAACTGTGCTTTTTTGGGTTTACGTTTGGGGGCAGCAATAAATCCCTGACTACTGAAACCATAGATCGATGCCGGCTTTGATTTGTTGCCACTATTGAAATATTTTGAACTATTTTTTTTATTATAACCACTAATGGTTCCGCCGTACGGAGTCGTTGTTGTCGGTGAAAATGATGTCCTTTTAATAGATCTTGGATTCCTATTCCATGGATTAAATCGTTTGCTACCATAAGTGGTGGCTGTCGTGTTAGGCCTGTCATCCAAACCGCTAATATCCAGAGCGTCATAGTTATTGATACCGCCAGTGCCAGCAGTGGTGGTGGTAGTGGTGCTGGACTTGCGTTTGCACATCAAAAACGTCAATCTCTTGCCACCAGTCAACAGTTCGCTGGCCTTTTCGCCAAGTTTTAGATAACTGTGCGCAACGAATATGCCTCTCGGATGCGACACAACAGTATCTTCGGCGATATACTTCATAAATATCATATTCTTCAGCAGCCGTTCTCTATCCGTATAATTAAATTGCTTGCCTTTCGTAAACATCGGTAACGATCGATATTTTGTTTCCAATTTGTCGCCGCCATTGAATATCTGCAAAATCTTTGTCAAACTAATATTTTCTTTGCGTTGTCGACCAAACTGGCCGACCAATGTCTGCAACGATCGCAATATGGCCACTGCTTCGTCGGTAACATCTATCTGGTTGTACTGATCTTTGGACAAACAGTTATCGCAAATGGTTCGGATATTTTTCGTACAATTTTCGGCATTGAATACTTCGCCAAAATAGCGCAACAATTGTGTTCGGCGACATTCGGCCCGATTCTGGCAATAGTGTTCAGTCATATAGAGATACGATAGAAATATTTGAAGTATAGGTTTCGATGTGGTTGTCTTTGTCATCAATTGTTTCCAACGTTGAACATCCGAACCATTAAAATAGAGTATACAATGCGAAGTGAGTCCATCCCTACCCGCGCGACCCACTTCCTGATAGTAGCCTTCAATCGACTTCGGCATCGAATAATGAATAACGAAACGGACGTCCGCTTTATCGATACCCATACCGAACGCAATGGTAGCACAGATGACATTATGTTTGTTTATAATCCAATTTTCTTGTATACGTTTGCGATCGCTATCGCTAAGACCCGCGTGATATGACACCACTTTAATGCCATCGCTCGACAATTTAAGCGATAAATCGTCGCAATCTTTGCGCGACAAACAATAAATAATACCACTTTGTCTGTTAAAGTCTGTCTGAATCATCAGCGAAATCTCGTCGTACGAATTCTTGTTTTTGGTCCGAACTTCGAACTTAAGATTCGGTCGATTGAATGACTGCATAAACCATTTGGTCGACGGCTTATCAATACCTAATTGGGCGACGATATCGAGTCGCACTTTTTGTGTAGCCGTCGCTGTTAAGGCCATTATGGGTACCGACGGGAACTGTTGACGCAATACTTGTAGTTTTTTATAATCGGGCCTAAAATCGTGTCCCCATTGGCTAACACAGTGGGCCTCGTCGATGACAAATCTGGCCAATAGTTGGCGCGACGACAGATCACTCAAGACAGACATCAGTGCATTGCTCGCCGATATCTTCTCGGGTGTTACGAAAAGCAGTTTAATTGTTGGCGCTTTGGATCTGAGATCACCATAAATGGCCATAACTTCGCTGGACTCTACATCACTTGACAATGACTTAGCCAAACCATCCTTTTTGTCGTTGATCTTCTTTACCTGATCGACAATCAACGACTTCAATGGCGAAACAACAATTGTTACGCCATCGCTGAGCACTGCGGGCAACTGATAGCATAGACTTTTGCCGGCACCGGTCGGCATCAAAATCATACAATCCATTCCTAGTAGTGCTGCGTTGATGGCTTCCATTTGATTGATTCGGTAACTTTGTAGACCAAAAAATGTCCTAAACTTTCTCTCCATTTTCATCGAGTGGGCAAAATTTGTTCGTTTCAGATACTGATCGCTGCCATCATTACGATAGACACCGACAAACTTACCGCCAGTAGTTGTTTGACTACTAGTACTGCCGCCGCCGCAGCGGCCATCACCGTCGGTAGTACCAGTCACGTGCTCATTCTCATCAACTGTCTTATTGAGATCTATATGATCAACGCTTTTGTTAAAATCATATTCTTTAGGGCCACTAAAACCAGTTTCCACTTTGTCCTCTTCAACGACACTGTCATTAAAGTCACTGATCACACGTATATCATCACTATTGTCATTGTTGTTGTAGACATATGATTCATAACTGTCATTATCATCTATAATAATTGAACAATCGTTATTATAAGCTGGAGATGATGTCGACTGATACCGGTTACCGTTGGCAAAGACAACAGGACTGTCATCATCGCATAAGTCGACAACAATATCTGTATTGTTTTTGTTGATAGTGTTAGTCATCATTGAATTTATATCTAGACTATCGATATGTACATCAAAGTCGTCGTCAAATGGATCGGAAAAATCGTTTACTACTACTTCATCTACATTGTTATCGGCAGTGTCAGTGTTGGCAGTGCCACTATCATCGGGCGAAAGACTAGCAAACCGTTGACCAACAGTCGAAACAGGTGTTTGCGGATAGTATGAGGCAGTGGTTGTGGTGGCAGTACTCTTCTGTGATGACCTAATGTCACAATCGATGATACGATTGACTAATTGCGATCTCTTATCAAGAAGTTGACTTAAATCATCCATTTGTGACACATTTGTTGTTGACTTATGACTGTTGATGAACTCGGATAACGAATCGCATATCTGTGACATCACCTGATAATTGGTTTCTTTGAGTTGGTCCCTGTCATCCATATCTTCATCAGTCAAACTATTGATCACACCATTAGCTGATACGCTGATATGATTGTCATTGTCGTTGTCGTCATCAATGAATATTGTCTGTCGTTGTCTTTTGCGTTTGAAAATTGGCGACAACTCTGGCGATGATGATTGTCGGCTATTGTAGTTGTCGTTAGTCGTCGTAGAGAAACCATTGGTTGCCGATGACTGTGGCCACTCATCATTATCACCGCTGTGGCGCTTATTGGTGTTGTTGTTGTTGTTGTTGTGATGGACTACAAGAGGTGTTGATGTGATCGATGATGTGTTGGTCGTGACTGCAGCAGTCGTTGATGAATAAGTAGAATAATTAGAGGAAGAATTGATGGTACGATTCTTGACATCCTTGACATCATCCTTGAGATTGGCGTCCAATTGTTTGAGCCGATTGGCCACTGGATCGCAAGCGGCGGCCGCCAACGAGTCCCGATAGTTTTGTTGTTGATTTTTAGAAAAATCGGTCAACTTTGACCACAAATTGTTTTGCGGTATTTTCATTGCGCGGTCACTAGATTTTGGTCAATCAATCAATCAGTCAATCAATATGTGTGAAGACATTATGACCACATGTTTTAATCGGTTAAACGCATTGTTTTTGAATTGATTTCATTCATTGATTTATAATTTCATTCAATATATATATAAAAAATATCACAAATTTTTTGGCGCTATTTGTCTCCTAAACACTATTGAGTATTGACTACGACTACAGTACTATTGTATGTATTAAATATTGTCTCACTTTGTGCTAAACCAAAACCAAAACAATAGCAGAAGCACACCACAAGTACATAGATTATCATAGATTACACTTACATATATATATACATACAATATAGCTTAGTGTGTATAATAACTATGCCGTGACTCCGCCCCTCCCCCTAAGCATTAGACTTTATAATATTGCGCGCATACTATATATATATACAGTACTACTGTACTGTTATATTGAAATTATTGTTTTGGTTTAGCACAAAGTGAGACATATTGACGTATGAATTGCATAGCAATTATTGTTGTCAACAATACATATGTTTTAATATAGCGAGACATCTGATGACATGTTTTTGAATAATAATAATAAATAAACAAAAATTGTTTTTTTTTTAAACTTTTAGTCAGATTTAAAGTTTTATTTCATTTTTTTTTTTTTAATTATTAAATGACTAATCAATTGACTAAATAATCAGTAATTTATTTTTAATTAATTAATTAATATTATTATTTTTTTTTGTGGTGATTAACTGATCCGATTTTGATTGCATGAAGAAAATACCGGTGTTGTTGTTGAAGACAGACATCTTGTCCGCCGACTTGTGTACCAATCAGTTGCCGCCGCCGATGACTACTACTACTGGCCGCCAGTCATCGGAAGCCACAAATCAATTGACGCTTGAATTGCACGACCAGTTTATGAACAAAGACATGGATGACGACAACAAATGTCATATCAAAAAATCTTCGTCCACTTCTCCATCTATCACCTCATCACCATCGATGATGACATCAACACCTGTTATCATCTATCACGACGACAATAACAATAACCATTGGAGTGATGCCACCGCCGATGATGAGTGGTCACAGTCATCACCAACGATGATGAACACATGTGTCAAAGATTTGTCATCGATGACGGCTATCCGTATGGATAGTGTCCACGAAGTCGACGAATCGTTTGGCGACAACTCTGCCGACGATAATGACTTCGAAGAGTTTGTCAATTCAGTAGATTTTAATACACTGATAATGTCACAAACAACGACCACCATTAACAGTGACTACTGTGGATCAAGTGATGACAATTCAAGTGATAGCAATACAAACGATGGCAATACTAGTGATGATAATGCATATGATGTACTATTGATCAGAGATGATACAGACTTTGATGACATGATCGATGAAGAAGTAGAAGAAAGCAGCTATGGTTTTGTTGGCAATACTAGTAGTGCTGCTATTGATAGCAATAATGTTATTGAATATGATTTCAACAAAACAGCGGAACAAAACCCTAACGAAAAGACTGGTAATAATATCGACACTGAAAGCGATGCAAAGTTTGTCGGTGTGTTTCGCAATGATGGCAACGATCCGTATCTTAAGTCGACTAACTTTGCCCACTCGTCGTTAATAGACAATGAATTGAGAAACTTCTTCGGTGTTCATGGCTACCGAACCAATCAACGGGAGGCCATCAACGCAGCACTACTCGGAATGGATTGTCTGATTTTGATGCCGACCGGTGCCGGCAAAAGTCTATGCTATCAGTTGCCGGCTTTGATCAGTCCAGGCGTTACAATTATTGTGTCGCCATTGAAGTCGTTAATCATGGATCAGGTAAATAAAATCAACGACAAAAAACCGGGTTTAGCTAAAGCAATGTCAACCGATATCGATCCCGAAGAAATACGACTCACTTGTAATGATCTCATGAGTAAAGAACCGATAGTCAAACTGCTTTTCGTAACGCCCGAGAAGTTGGCGAAAAACTATGAGCTGATGGCCATTGTTAGAGATCTGGCGTCGCGTCAACTAATCGCCCGATTTGTCATCGACGAGGCCCACTGTGTCAGCCAATGGGGACACGATTTTAGACCCGATTATAAAAAACTACAAATATTTCGTCAACAGTTCCCGTCGGTACCGATAATGGCCTTAACAGCGACGGCCACACAGAAAGTGCGACTCGATATTGTCGCACAATTAGGTATTGACAACTCGTCGACCAAATGGTTTATGCAGTCATTCAATCGACCGAATCTTAAGTTCGAGGTCCGTATGAAAGGGTTTAACTCTTACAACGATATTCTACGTATGCTTCGGACTAACTTCGCCCGACAAAGTGGTATCATATACTGTTTGGCCCGTAAAGAGTGCGACCAATTGGCCAAACGTCTGGCTAGGGATGGCATCAAAGCAGTCGCCTATCACGCGGGTCTCAAAGATCCCGAACGCAAACGTATACAAAACGATTGGCTGATAAATAACTATTATGTCATCTGTGCTACCATTGCGTTCGGTATGGGTATCGATAAACCAGACGTCCGTTTTATTATACATAATACGATATCAAAATCAATTGAACACTACTATCAAGAAGTTGGCCGAGCCGGCAGAGATGGCAAGTTATCCAATTGTATTATGTATTACAACTTTGACGATGTTGAACGCTGGAAACAATTGATTGGATCCGATCGGAAAAAGTCCATCGAAGTATTGAGAGTATTGATGGAATACGTGGATCTGGTTAAACATTATTGTCTTAATCAGGCCGAGTGTCGAAGGGTTCAATTGTTACGCTATTTTGGCGAACAATTTTCACCAGAAGATTGTGGCAAAACTATCGGTGATTCAATCTGTGATAACTGTTTGTCTGTCGATAAATACACTGATCGGGACATTACCGACCAAGTGGTAGCCATATTGCGATCGTTGCAAACGTTAGTCGGGCTGTTTGGTCAACAGCGCAAAGTGGATATCGAATTAAAAAAATTGATACTCATATTCGGCGGCTCAGCCGACAAAGTGCCGGCAAAATACTGGTCACTGCCGATGTTTTCAATAGGCCAACAGTTTAGTAAAACGGACAGCGAACGGCTGTTTGCCAATTTGGTTAGCCGAAAGTTTATCGGCGAAGACACTGTTATTTTGTCGCCGAAATCGATATTTGTTGCGCACAGTTATCTTCGATTGGGCGAAAAAGCCGACGAACTGTTGACCGGTGGCCAGCGATTCATGTTTTTGGTCTACAATGCCGGCAACAATGATAGTCCGTTCGATGGTAACCAATGGTGGCATAAAACTAGAAAACGGATGAACCCCTGGAATACAATTCCTCAACAATTTATGAAAAAGTTTTTTATGTCCTCTGAATGTGATTGCAATGGAAATACTTTTAGCGAAACAGTTAATAATATTATTAATAATAATAATGTTATCATAAATAATAATATTATTGTTAACAATATTATTATTACCGATAAAATAATAATTCTGTGCCTAAACTAAAGCCAGAAAAAATACAGTTATAGTCGTCTATTAAGTTAATTATCGTGTAATTACCGCTAAAATATTAGATATTCATTACTTAATTAAATTGTTAAATATAAATGTTATTGAATTATAATATAAATATCAGATTTATATTTTTGTTTTGCCAATTGTTATACAGATATATACTTTATAATATATATATATTTAAAATATGATATGATTGATTAATGTAATTTATTTATATATTCAATATTAAAATAAAAAAATATATTTATATATTCAATATTAAAATTTTAAAAAAATATATATTTATATATTCAATATTAAAATAAAAAAAATATATTTATATATATACTGTCTATTATTATCGGAAAAATAATAAATTCAAATATTTTATTTTGTATAAATAATTTTCTAATATTTTATTTATTATTTTTATAAACAATGAATTTATAATAAATGATTTTTAACTATGCGTTGGGTAGGGGGGGGGGTTGAGTTGAGACAACAACAAAAAATATAAAAAAAATAATAGATTTAACAATAATAGAATTAATCGATGAATTAATTAATTTTTGATACAATTTTAAATACTATACAATTTGTTAATAGTGTTTAGTTATAAGCAATTATTTAGTTTTTTTAAATAATTATTAAATACTGTATATAATATTTATGATCACTTTATTAATTATAAATTAATTAGTTTACTTATTATTATAATAATAAATTATAATTTATATAATCATACTAATCAAGTTTTTTTTAATTTTAATCATATAATTAATTACTTAATAATTAAAAATATTTTATTGATTATTACTTTTCATTGTCAGCATTTATCAGCATTTTGTTCGTAATTGTTTTTTTACAAACAAACAATCAATCAATCAATCAGTCAATAAATTGTTAATTAATTTATTTTTTCTATAATCATACCATTAGTAGTAATAATATTTTTTTAAATGATTTTTTTGTGCTAATCATCGATGAATGTGTGAATACTAAACATTTGAATATCATTTGAAACCCGATCTTTGAGTTCAAGGTTTTGTTGATCTTTTTGATGAGAAAACAGACCCAAAAAAATTAATAATAAAATTAATTTTTCTCTTAATTAATCGATTTATTATTATTATTATTATTTTTACATATATATATATCGTTTTTTTTAAATACAATAATTGTCATCTACATAAATAATTCAATAATAATAATAATAATCATAAAAAAAACAAACAAACAAATTAAACAAACAAAATTACTTACAAACAATATATGAAATATATGGATGAAAACAATTTGATTGATTTGATAGATAGATAAATATTTACAATATTATAATAATAAATGATATTTTGTTTGTTATTAATGTGTCTTTTTGTTGTTGTTGTTGTTGAGGAACAAAATATTATTTTATTAACACATTTTATATATATGTGTGTATGTGATGTAAATTTTTTTTGTTAGTTATATTTATTTTAGTCTAAATTTGTATTATTATTATTATTTTTGTTTAATTTAATTTAATAATTTCGTTTCGTTTTAATAAGTGCTACCAAAGATTGTGTAGATGAAGGTTACGGCTCAGCACCGATCGGACGTCCGTTGTGAACCTTAATGCGTCCAAAACGGGTAATAAATTGAGTAATGCTGTGTCGCGCGGGTCCGAAAACCACGACTTGATTGGTATTGCATTGTCTAATAAGTAATTAATAAAATTAGTTAATTAAAAAATATATTTATATTATTATTTAAAAAAATACTATACCAGGGTATTGCCTATAAGCACCGGGACTATTGTCTAATATGAAAACACTGGCTAAATCTTGCGATATAGCAGTCAAATCTTTGGTATAACTGCCGTAATCTAGTGTACAGTGCTGTCTAAAGTATCTACGCTTTAAAATGCCTTTATTATTGTCCAATTTGTCGGCAACCGCTGCACCGTATATCTCCATACTGGCGGTAAATACTACTAATTCATACCATTGGCTAACCTATAAAGAGATTGAGTATCAATCAAATCAATACAAAATTAGGATTTGTTTTAAATTTTGGTCATAAAAATCAATTGATCCAAACAAACAAAAAATACGCACAACATTAAGAAAATAGTCGACATGCGGTCTCTTGTGGACAAAAAACCTGACGGGATGTCTATCTATTGTCACTTTGAGCACAAAATCGGGTGGCGTTCCCGGTTTGACCATCTGTCTGATGACTCCGTCGTGATGAGAGTGTATAAGCGTCTCGTCTAAGTCCAGTACAAGTACTTTGCGTCTAACTAAACCTATTTATTTTTTTGAAAATTATTATTATAGATAATAATAATACAAAAATAGTATTAAATAAATAAATTTAAAAAAAAATTAAACAATTGAGATATGATTTAGTGATTCAATCAATTACTGAGTCTGTGTTTCGATAGCGGAGACAAAGGCATGATATGGTATTTGACGGTTTGGTGTTGTATTACCTGAAAAAAAAAAACAAATGACAATAACATTAAACACATCCAATAATTTAATTAATTAATTAATTAATTAATAAACAAACAAACAAAAGTTTTTCTTATTATTATCAATATTATGTGAAACCAATTGCTATTTCATTATATTATTCAAACACTACTACAACTATACTGTACTTAAACTACTAAACTGATAACAAACAACAAAAAAACACATTTAGATATCATATAAGTTATAACCAGTTATTTTTAAAAAAAAATAAAATAAAAGAGATTATTATGGGATCAACTGATAAACAAAGTGATAAATTTTTTTGCATTAAATACAAAAAGAGTTTCCGCTGATCTTAATGTACTCATCAATGGTTTCACACACAATACAAGAGATAGAGAGAGACAGAAAACAACAACAACCAAGAAATCAATGGATTTCTTGGTTGTGTCTCAACTCATGTCTGAACGGATCAATCAATAGGTGACTATTATTTTTTTTAAAAATATATATATATATAAGACATACAGTGCGGACTTGTTTCTTGAGTACATAACAGATGAACGTCCAGATCTTGGAGGCGAAGACCAAAACGGCGCGTAAACCCATTTGCAACTGTTTCAACATTTGGACAGACCGTTGACGACCACCGGTTGGTTAGTCCACACTGTCGTTCACTCTCTTGTTGTCTCTCAGCGGACCACCCAATCAATACCACTTCTTCTTCTTCTTCTACTTCAACAAACTCTTTGTGGTCGTCGTCCGCAACAACAAACCTCTGGCGCGCGCGTGAGTCCACTCGTCACATAAAACGCGTGGACACACACACACAAAATCTTCGGCAAAGAGACAGAGAGGAGACGAGTTGAAGGTTTAATTTATTTAATTAAATATTAATTAATTTATTTATTATTATTAATAATTATACAAACAATTAATAAATATATAAATAAATAAAATCTACTTAAAAAATAACACAACAAACAAACAAAAAATAATTTTTTATTATTTTATTTTATTATAATATACAGTATATTTCAAACACACAATTGATTGCAATATCATATTTAACAGCCATTTATCTGTGAAACACTTGCGCTACACATGTGGCGCCACTTTTACATATAGTTATACATAAACTGTGTTACTGTGTGTATGTGTATGTGTATGTGTATGTGTATGTGTATGTGTATGTGTATGTGTATGTGTATGTGTATGTGTATGTGTATGTGTATGTGTATGTGTATGTGTATGTGTATGTGTATGTGTATGTGTATGTGTATGTGTATGTGTATGTGTATGTGTATGTGTATGTGTATGTGTATGTGTATGTGTATGTGTATGTGTATGTGTATGTGTATGTGTATGTGTATGTGTATGTGTATGTGTATGTGTATGTGTATGTGTATGTGTATGTGTATGTGTATGTGTATGTGTATGTGTATGTGTATGTGTATGTGTATGTGTATGTGTGTATACACATGTATATAGAAACATAAATGTGTATTAAATATACATATATAGAGGGATCTGTTTGGGAGCATAAAATGTAACGATATATGTGTATGTGTGAACACTGATTAAATGTGTGGATTGATATTATTATTAATAATAATAGACGTGTGTTTTGTAATACCCGACTTACACGGGATTATAAAAATACTGTACTGTTATACTGTATAATAATATACTGTAAAATACTGTATGATATTATTATACATATGTTGAATAATACACTACAGTGTATATGATATTAATGTGTTTCGTGTCTAGTGTTATGTTATACAGTAGTAACTGTACTCAAAATTTATTGATAAACACTATATTGCATTAGTACTGTACATATATATTCAAAAAAAAAAAATTAATAAATAAAAATAAAAACCCATTGAAACCCAAACCCGAAACCAATACATAACATAACAATACATTGACATTGCATTACAACTGCACTGTTATATTGCAATACTATTACATATAATATTTTACTATTATTTGTTGTGTTTTTTTCTACTATAGTATTATTATTATTATTATTATTATTATTATTATTAACTTATAAACTGTAATACTCTGTAATAAACTGTTTTGTTATAACAATAATATGTTTAGTGTTTTGAACGCATGATTCAGACAAAAAAAACAACAGAAGAAAAACTTGCCGTTTGTTTTGGTGACTGAAGAAGTTGAAGAAGAAGAAGAAGAAGGAAAAGATGAGCGCCGCAGCTGCCAAACAGTCAATTGACCGCCAAATAGTGGTCACCGCTGTTGCCGTCGCTCCCGAACTGGACGATCCGATTTTGCCGCTCAATTCGGCTATCATTCAGCGGATCCGCAAAAGTATTAGCGGATCAAATAATAATAATAATAATCAGCAACCAATAGATACCAAAGATAAATCCACTGATGATATACATCAGCCGCTACCACCTCCGCCACCCGTCAGTGGCGACCGATTATTATTGGCCAATGTTTTGCAAAACTCAATGAAACAAAAGTTGGCCGTAGTTTTGAAACAAGAGTCAGACTCAAACTCGGCTGTCGTCGACGATACTGATGATGATGATGACGACGACGACGACGACGACGACGATACTGATGATGACGATGTCGACAATGACGAAGATGTCGATGAAGACAACCATCAAATCAACGGCCAACAAGTCATTGACGTAACACTAGTGTCGCAAAAGTGGACACAACTTGACTCCGATTATCAGCGGCTGACAAAAAGTGTTGTCAAACGAAACGCCAAAAAGACTACACCGACGGCTTGTGTTTCAATGGACAGTAATCTTTGGAAACGATTTGACAAACAGATGGTTCAGATGCGCAACTTGTTTGCCGATATTATTGACCGAAGAAGAATAAAAAGTAGTAGAAGAAGAAGAACAAGAAAAAACAGTGACCACCAGTTGACCGACGGTATGACTACTACGACAACGACGACTACTGAACTAACGGCTAAACATTGCAAACGACTCAAACAATACAAGAATTAACTCAATTAAGACAACAACAAAAAATTTTTTAACTAATTATAAGTAATTGAAGAAAAATTAAAATTTTTATTATTATTATATTTCTATATTTATAGTATATATCGATATATTTGATATGATATATATATATTTGATTGTATTATATTTTTTTATTAACATATATTTTTAGATTGTTTTTTTTAAAAAAAATCCAGTTATTGTTTTTAATATTTTCATTATAACTATTCATTGATTCATTTTTTTTTATATTGAAAACAACGAAAAAAGTATTTTATTATTATATTATATATAGAAAAATAATTATTTTTATTATATATATATATATATTAATACATATAAATTTATATACAGTATATATATATATATATATAATAAAATATATTCTCATTAAAAAAATATTTTATATATAAATGTTATATTATTAGATATTTTTGCGACAATTTATACAATATTTTTTGTTTTGTTTTAACAAACTAATAGCTTATATAGTATACGGCTTAACATTTTTTTTATATGTGTGAAAAATAAAATGTATATTTAATTATTTATCAGTTGACTATTATGTTTTTTTTTATTTGTTATGTATTCCTTTATTAAAATATATAACTATATGGTTATATGATTTTTCATATAAACTAGGTAATTTATTTTTTTATTAAAAATAATAATAATGAAGTCGTAAATTAAAGTTACGGTAATGTAAGTACTGATGTATAAAGAAATAGTATTTTTTTATATAAAGTCATTATTTTTAAGATAATAATAATAATAATATAGCTATAATAAAATGTAATTTATTTTAGTAATAACTAAATATTTGTAAATTTAAAATAATGGTTTTTTATTTATAAATTTAACATTATCATTATATAGTACCTGGATAATAATAATAATAATAAGCATGATAACCGTAAAACTTAAAATAATAATATATTTATTACAATAATAATAAATATTAATAAATTTTATTTTATTTTTTTTACTTTTTTTGATAATATTATACAATAATTAGTTTTTTTCTAGTGTAAGATCATTTAAGTTAAACTATTATTATTATTATTACTATTATTATTATTAAAAATTACATTAAAATAAGTAGTAAAAAATACAATAATTATATAAATTTAGTAAAAAATAAATTTTATTGATTTTTTTTCAAAAATAACTACAATAGTAATATCGTTTTTTTTAAACAACTATAGAGTTTATCGTTACACACAATAAGGTATTAATACAATACATATTAAATATATTATCAATAATACTGTGTTATAATTATACTGTAATAATAATACTATAATAATGTTGACTAAAAAATATTATATATATATATATATATATTTATTATTAGTATTATTATTTAGACACTGAAATGTCTTATATATATATACAGTACACACACACTAAATGATAATCAATTGAGAAAATTGAATCATTATATATATATATTTTGGTAATATTGGCTTAATTTAACAACATTATCAATAACAATAATAATAATAATAACAACAACAACAATAGTTAACTAAATAAAAAATGTGTTATGTATGTGATGTCAAAATATATCAATAATATATTTGAAACAATTTTATTTTGTGATGTATTTTCTATATATATATATTGTATATAAGTATCATATAAATGTTATATATTTTGTATATATTATTATGAAAAACAAATTTGTTGTAAATTATATTTACTTATACACAGAACTTTACTTTTTTAATATACTTTTTTTATATACTTTTTTTAGAGTTATGTATTAATAAATGTAATACTAATAATAAAAGTTTAAAAAAAAATTATTTTGGTGATACTTTAATAATAATGATTTTTGTGTTGGAAAAAGTTATTTTTTAAAAAAAAGTTATTTAAAATTTAAACATAAAATTTGTTGGGATTTTTGTTTAAGCATTAAGAGAAAGATAAAGAACGAGAGAGAGAGAGAGAGAGAGAGAGAGAGAGAGAGAGAGAGAAGAACGAGAGAGAGAGAGAGAGATTTAAATATATATTTATTTATAATTTAAATAATATCATAAATATAAAGCCCATTATAGACATCGTATTTCTTATATGATGTTGAAGTCATTGCTTCCTAAGGGATCGTTGTTTGAAATTTGGCCGAAACTCATAAATATAGTTATGAAAGGATTTGGATGTTATGCTGACTGTCGTAAACACCAGCAACAGCTCAACCACTCTATGATTATAATATACATTATATATATATATTAAAAAAAATATAACTATTGGTTAATATCTTATATATAAATTTTATATTACTATTGATGTCCACTGATATATACAGTATAAATATATATATATATATATATATATTGTTGTATTTATTACTGGTATATCAGTGATTGACTAATAATTTTATTATCACTACATCAACCCTAAACATGTGTGTGAGGGATATAAATGTAATATCAAATAAGTTAAGACAACTATCATATATAAATTATTAATAATATAACAGTAATACTTGTATTAAATTTATTTATTATTATTATTTGAACATTATAGTTCAATAATATTATTTTAGATAATATTTAATATATTAATATATATATATGTTTAGAAAGTTTCTATACTGTATTAAATGGTATTAAATATAGTTAAAAACAAAATTGTATAATAATTTTTTTGTCGTTTGGTTGGGTAATACAAACCTTTACTTATTATGCATGTATTAAATTTTTATTTTTTTTAAAAAAAACCTAAATTATAATTTTTTGTTGTAAAGCTCAAATGTTATACTAATGTATTTTGTAATCCATATCAATAATTTAAGTATTATATAAATTATATAAATTATATTATTTTTTGTTTGTTTGTGGAGTTTCGCAATGCATCTAATATTTTTTAATGATAAAACCCTATTATATAATTTATTAGAAACTAAAAGCTTTATTATATTGGGTTATTGTATGCATTATGAATGATACTATAAATTATCAATATATATTGTAAATCAGATATTATATAACATCATTATTATTAAATTATTATATAACTAATAACAGAAAAAAATAAAAAAAAACCTAATATTATTGAACATTGAAATAACAGAATATTCTGTATTCTCATAATATAGATTGCAATATTGTTGTGAAATATTGTATTATAATATATATATATATATATATATATATTAATTAACTATTAATATGACATTTAAATTTTTATATACAAATAAGTAATCTTATACTCAGTATATAAAATTGTAATATAAATATAAACTACCAAGGTATTTGAATTTTAAATTAATAGTTAAATTATAATAATGTTAATTATATTTATTAAACATAAAATATATATATATAATAGTATATTCAAGTACTCAAACCTGTATAATGTTTGATAGGAAAACCATAAAATAATTTCTTGCGATTCATCCTTAAATATGCCGTTTGCGCCGATAGTTCCGACACATTGAAGCACAGTTATGATTAGGCCGTAGGCCATCAAATGGATTATACGTTTGACCAGATTTTCAAATACATCCCTATTTGATGGCTGCTGTTTTGGTTGTTGCTGCTGCTGACTCTGGCACTGGGAGCTATAGATCTCAATTTGTTGCTGATTTGTAACACTACCGGTGCAATCAATAAAGAGTATATACAGTATATAAGTAAAGTATATATATAAAAATAAAATTCATTATAGTATACAAATTTAATTATATATAAACCTAGATTTATATTATTATATATAAAAAAATATCTACAAATTTTAGTTAACAAACAGTTAGTTATTTTTTGTTTTTGTTTATTTGTTTAATTCAATACCTCTTTTTGTCGTCAAAGTCGTCCCTTAAGTCGTTAATCTCTGCGATATTCTTGAGCGGCGACTCTAACCGACCAATTGACGAATGGTTTGAATTTTTTCTGACAATTTTATTGCCGTTATATTTATTATTATTATTATTACTATTAGTTTTATTTTTATTTGTATGTCTCTTATTGTTAAATTTTGGCGATTGTCTGTATATTGAATTGGACTCATTTCGCTTCAATGAACCACTCGTTGAACTATCTGTATTGATATATAAATTTATATTCAATATATACACACAAACAAAAAAACATATCATTGTATTATAAATGTATTGTTATACATGTGTATTGTTGTTATTGTGTATATTGTGATTGTTGATGCAATTGATATAATATAAATTTTACTGTATTTTTACACAACATTTATTAATGAAAATAATAATAATAATAATAATATAATACTCTACAATATACAATACAACAGTTTATAACATTTAAAACTATGGGAATATATTAGTATAAATATATACTAAAGAATATATATATAGAAATTAAAGAATATATATATATATTCAATAAATGTTTCATATATTTAATTTGCATTTAGATTTTATGGTACAGAATAATAATAATAATTTTTTGGTGAATGCATTTTTGTATGACATATATAAAATAGAAGTTAAATTAAATTAAATTAAATATATAAAAGTTTCTTACATTGAATTTTATCTAACTATCTATCTATAGATTTTTCAATGTATGTGTTTGCGCTAAGTTAGCTTAACTTAAATTAAATTAAACATTTTTTAAAAAAAAATATTGAATTAAATAAAACGTTTCAACTATTTTAAAAATCTATTGAATTTTTTAATATATTAGTTGTCATACCTGTATATTGTACGACAATATTATACAGTAATACAAAAATATAAAATCTCTAATTTTATACAAATTTTTTCACACATGAAATGTTTAGCAATTTTGACAAATATAAATTTGTATTTACACTATTTATTAATTAATTAAAATTTATATTTTATGTATATATATAATTAGTACAATACTTGAAATAAAATCTAATTTTTTTAAAATTAAATTTACATATTTTAAAAAAATAAATATTTATGCCACTAATTAATTAAAACTATGTAGATGATAATACTATTATAATTTTGATTACTAAATAAGTTATATATATGTTAATATACATTAGATTACTACATAT